AAGTATATATATCTATATATAGTTTGATATGATAAGAACTTCTATTCGTGATAGGAAATTGCTACTACTGTTGGCAGCGCTGGTCCTGGCCCGGCCTTTTTCAGCAAGGGCCGTCGGCTCAAAGGAGAACTTGGCAATACCTGAGCGGTTTAGGGTTTAGGGTTTGGGGTTCAGGGTTCAGGGTTTAGGGTTCAGGGTTTAGGGAATCCCGGCTGTGGAGCACAAACCAATCCCAGCCAGAAGGATACGAAGACCAGGATTGACCGACCCGAAACCCCGAAACCGACCCTCAAGACCGTCTAAACCCTAACCCGAAACCCTAAACCCTAAACCCTCACATGAATGGTGCAGAGATTTGAGCCATAACCCTAAACCTTAAACCCTAAACCCTAAACCCTAAACCCGAACTCCTCAAGTGCGGCCTCAGTTGCTGGATCCTGCCCAGGACAGGTCACCCAGCAAAGGGATGGCCTGGACACCTGAAGGCACAAGGGTAGGGTTTAGGGTTTAGGGTTTAGGGTTTAGGGTTTAGGGTTTAGGGTTTAGGGTTTAGGGTTTAGGGTTTAGGGTTTAGGGTTTAGGGTTTAGGGTTTAGGGTTGCGGGTTTAGGGTTTAGGGTTTAGGGTTTAGGGTTTAGGGTTTAGGGTTTAGGGTTTAGGGTTTAGGGTTTAGGGTTTAGGGTTTAGGAGGGTTTAGGGTAGTTTAGGGTTTAGGGTTTCGGGTTTAGGGTTTAGGGTTTCGGGTTTAGGGTTTGGGGTTTAGGGTTTAGGGTTTCGGGTTCAGGGTTTATAAGGGTTTAAGGTTTAGGGTTTAGGGTTTGGGGTTTAGGGTTCAGTTTGAGCCGCAACCCTGAGCCGTTGAACGAGAGCTCCCGAGCCTGCGGCAGCAGCCAGCTTTGCCAACCGGCCGGCAACGTCGGCGCCCCCCTCCCGGCCGTCGGCCTCCGTAAGCTTCATACCCTCTGAGGACTATTCTCTTGCATTTTTTATGAGAATTATACTGGTTTATATCAAATGTTTCTATTGTATTCTTATACTGTATTATTATGAGAATATACTGTTTTATATCAAATGTTTCTATTGCATTCTTAGATTGTATTTCTCCAGATCCACCCCGAAGGGGCCCTACTGTTTCCAACGACATGGGTGGCAGAGCTGTTCGGAAGCCACGAGTAGGGGACAATCCGGCCGAGTGCTCACCTACATGGACCATTATACCCTTAAGAGGGCCCTGAATAGGGTTGGTTAGGGGATCAAATCAGGCCGAATAGCTCATGCTTGCAGAGACTCTGATGCGTAACACCTGTTGAAGCTGATCATGCCCTGCGAGGGAGGGTCTAGGGTCTGGCGTTTGGGGCTTTGTCATTGTGGAGGCGCACTCGGCGCCATCTACACGACGGGATTGCCCGGAGTCGCGGTCGCGTGGATGGCAGGTGCGCCAGGCAGCGTATGTGGTGTTGAGAAACATGCACGTTGTGTCTAACCCTTTCTGTTAAACAAACGCACACTTGGCTTGAACAACCCTCTTATGTCATGTCGGTTGCGCGTTGTTGGAGCCTCTGCAGCTAAGAGAGGGGCCTTGCACTCATTTTCGGATCTCACATCATCATGCTGGGAGTACGCCAGCAGACGCACAGCAAAACAGTGTAAGCCATTGCTGCATGCGGCTGCGGTGGTAGGTAAAATTATCTCTTCTGCGTCTCTTGATAGTAAACATGTCTAGCAAGAAAACACTTTTCACTCCCTTCAAAATCGAACCCTATTTTGTTGTTTGCATTTAGTGGCGAACGAAAAAAGAAAAGTTGCAAAAACAAACTTTCAAATCATAAGTTGACCTGCTTTCTGATCGATAAACTCAAGGATCCTTGTACTATCGCTTCTCTCAGGAATTTGCCGCCGCTGACGAAGTAGTGACCACGCATGCTAGTACTGCCATGGTTTGCGATACAATCGACATGAATGTTTCGTGGCAGCATGTAATAATGGGCCTCACACCTTGGGGACTAAATGAACCCTAAAAGGGTTTATGGTTCATATACCTCAATAGGAAGTATAGTAGTCAGGGTATATGACCCCCAATTTTAGGTTTCAAATTGGGTCCCCAAGGCAAGCCATCGGTGCACTTCTAGGGGACCCTTGCTTGGGCCTCCTCTTTACTCGTGATCGGCACGCATGGCCCTACGACTCCGCACGTTGATTCCCCCGGCTTAGCGAACCCTAAACCCTAAACCCTAAACCCTAAACCCTAAACCCTAAACCCTAAACCCTAAACCCTATACCCTAAACCCTAAACCTGCCTCGACCTGCTGCAAGTGCCCGAGCTCAGTCTCGGCGAGGAGGAAGCGGGACACCTCGCTCTTCCCTGGGGACCCTCTTCACCTACACACCTACCCTCAGAGGGGTTTATACCTGTGCATACCTTGGGGACTAAATGGCTTTATGGTTCATATACCTGAATAGGAGTTATAGTAGTATAGGGTACATGGCCCCGCTTTTAGGGTTCATTTCGTCCCCAAGGTAAGGGTAGCTACTACCAAACTGTAGGCAAAAGAGAGCCCCAGGTTGCGCCAGCGGCCCCCACCTCCGTCAGGGAGGTGCCGCCGGGCCATTGCGCTCCGCGTCGGAGCCGCGGGCTGCGAGCAGCAGTGCTGTCCTCGCGTGGAAGGATCTGGGGGGTTTAGGGTTTAGGGTTTAGGGGTTTAGGGGTTTAGGGTTTAGGACCCACGAGCTCAACCCTGGCTTTCCGCATGTCCTCGTCTCTCCACTCGGCCACGACCTTCGGCATGTCTGACACAGCTGTAGTTCTCTAACTTGGGGCCTTTTGTAGCCGACTCAATTTCGAATGGGCATCGTGGGAGTGTACATTTCTTTTGATGTTGGGGTTTAGAAGCGGCTAGTCATGGTACCAATTTAGGCCCCTAAACCCTAAACCCTAAACCCTAAACCCTAAACCCCAAACCCTAAACCGGGGTGTTTTTGCCAAGAGAGCGCTCGGTGCGGGCCTCAGAGTCGTAGATTCTCGCGGCGCTCTCGGCTAAGAAGTGGGCCTGGTCGGTATCGCACCATGGATTCGGCAGATTCGACGTCGGGCCCAGGATTCAGAATTAAATGCCGGCAAAAAGTTAGGGTTTAGGATTTAGGCTTTAGGGTAATCATGTTGTGGGCAGTTCCCAAAATCGAGCAACCTCGTATATACCCCCCAAGAAGAGTCGAATCCTTCTTCTACGAGGCCCCATCAGAAGCGTACCTTAACGCCCTCATGACAAACGGAATGGCGGCCTCAATCGCCTCCGCAGAAAGGAGATGCCGGACTCCTCCACCCTAAACCCTAAACCCTAAACCCTAAACCCTAAACCCTAAACCCTAAACCCTAAACCCTAAACCTCAGGACTATATGGCTTACAAGGCTTGTAGGGTTTAGGGCTTACAGCCCTTTAAGGGTTTCGAGGGGTTTTGGGTCGCGAAGGGGCGCTCGCAGGAATGGGAAGGGCGACGTTTCGGGGAGGCCTAAACCCTAAACCCGGGATCCGATCCTGCAGCCGACACAGCAGACCTAGGCGCAGGAAAGGAAGTTCAGAGGAAAAACTGAGGGTTCAGGGTTTGGCTCGTACGAGTAGGCGTTACAGTGAACGATCGGATTTTTTCATCGGGTTTATAGGGCTCACAGGGCTTGAAGGGTTTGTAGGGTTCATCAAGTTTGGGGATCCCACACCCCACACAGGTCGCAGAATCCCCTTGGCACGTTGAAGATTGAAAAGCACTGCAACCTGGGTGCTGATCGTGCTGGCTTCGCTGCGCCACGGCAAATGAGGACGGCCACCTGTGCATTTCACAGACAGTTCCGCTGCACAGTATTGAACAGCCAAATCCAAAAAAGCTGCTTGCATAGACACGACATCATACAAAACCCGAACCAGTCAAACCCGTAGACGGTGTATAGTAAACACATGCCGTGCGCACATCTGCAGACCCTGGCGCCGCACTCGAAATGATCTCACACGAGCCCTTCCTGCACCAACTGCCGTGAAGAGAAGGATCAAAACCAAGAATTCGATCTCCGAAATTTGACTTCTCCTCCACGCGCCTGCCCTGTCCACAATCCACCATCTTACGAGACTCTTGCTGCGACATTGCTGCGTTTCCTGATTAGTTCATTCTTAGAGTTCCCGAGCTCACCCTTGCAGCACACATTGCTCTGCCCCGCCTGAGTAGCAGGAGCAGGCCAGCATGGGCCGCAAGTACCAACAAACCAGTCCTGCACTCGTTGGGTTTCAGGGTTTCTGGGTCGAAGACTTCCGCATACTTCCGCAACCGACCAAGTTTCTGCTGCATGCAGCAGTAGACAGTAGAGTGGCACTTAGTCTACTCCTGCGCGATCGCAGCGTTCTGGTGGGCATGGCGTCACGAAAACTGACACAAGACCAGACTGGTCACTGGTCCCTCTAAGCGAGCTGACAATGTCGGCTAGGAGCTTAGCTGTGAATGATCTTGTTAAATCAGTATATAGTGATCAAGTCGTTTATGAATCTAATACTGATTTCAGGAGAAATCGTGGTGACAACGTCTCGGGGGAGACACTTCCATCAGCTGTCGTTACCTGAGAGTCTCCCCTGCTTGTAGCCAGATGGCTGGATCCGAGGTTGGCCACTTTAATTAAGCAAAACGATCCTCGTCTTAAACCCGGTAAGGGACTCTATTCCTAAATCATGCGATCCTCGTCTTAAACCCGGTAAGGGAATATATACGAAAAGGTCCTACCTAGAGAGTGCCGCACGGACTGCAGCAAATGTAGCGTTTAGGGGGGCAGAAATTGTGGAAGGTAGCAGAACGGCTGAGCACAGCCCCCCGAGGCACCCTAAACCTCCAGGGGTTAGGGTTAAGGGGCTGTAGGGGTTATAGAGGTTTAGGGGTTTATAGGGTTTAGGACTTTAGGGTACCCTAAACCCTGAACGCTTAAACCCTAGACGCTAGAACCCTAGACCCCTGCGCCGAGCTCATGGCAGGCACTCGACATACCACCGTCCAGGGAACGGACCCTGGCCTGGTTAGGGTTTAGGGTTTAGGGTTGAGGGTTGAGGGTTTTGGGGGCTTATAGGGTATAGGGTGTAGGGAGGAGGTTGGGATGTTCCCCCTTATACTAGCAGTCCTTGGGAGGGATTGTAAGAGGGGGGGTACTAAGAATCCCTAGAAAGGACTGTTAGGATAAGGGGGAACATCCCAAGGTGTAGGGCTCAGGGTTGAGGGTTTAGCTGCTGTTTCTTGGGGCTATAGGGTTTGTAAGGTTTAGGGGCTTAGGGCCTGAATAATTAGAATAGGTTTTATTTATTTTTATTATTATTTGATTTTTTTTGGGGGGGGGGGGTTAAGGGACCATAAGGGAAAATGATTAGCAATTATTCCAACCCCTACATATTTGGGTTTTTGGAGGGTTTCTAGGGTCGGGTTTAGGGTTCAGGTTTAGAGTGTAGGGTCTATCCGCCGAGCCTGGCGGCGTGTTGGATGGGAAAAGGAGGTGGGTGAAAACCTCCCTCTTTCCCTCCTTACCCCCCCAAAATGCGGGTGGGGGGGTGCCCTTTCCATGGAGGGCCAGGCCACCCACACCGCATAAACTCACGGACCCCGCACCCCCTTACCCCCCCCCCCCCCCCCTACCCCCCCCCCCCCCCCTACCCACCCCTACCCCCCCACCCCCCCCCCCGCCCCCCAAACCCCCTGAATTGACGGGGCTGCCCCTTCAGACTGGCTTCAGACCTGTTTGGGTCCTGGTGCTACCCCTACCCCCCCCCCCCCCAACATTTCACAGAGGCCCAAGCAAATCAATTTTTGGCATCCTTTGAGCTGACGAGCGCGTTTAAACCTTTCAACTATGCTCCAGCGGGGTCGGCGGCTTGAGCCGCAGGCTCTTAAATTTATAGGGGCTGCAAGTTTTGCAAAAGGTTTAGGGGTTATTGTGTTCAGAGGCTTTTCACGTTTTAGGGCTTGTAGGGTTTATGGCAAGGCGCGGGTTCAGATTGTAAGGAGTCTGCAACTCAACGTACCATTATAAGGGTTCTTCAACTTAGTGTCCCTTGTAGGGATCCTTTTGTAAGGTGCCGTACTCTGTATAGGACCCCCAAAAAGGACCCTACAGCATATTTTAGAGAACTACCCATATTATTGTTCTCGCTCTGTGAAGTAAGGCTGAGCTGTTGTTGATAACATGAAAGATGAGCTACCGTGATAAGGGAAGCTGCATGATCCTGCATGATTGGATGAATTCTTACGCATAGACGTATAAGCTACCATAAGACGGGCACTACCACACTTATGTAACCCTGCTATGGTATCTGAACTAAGTGTCTTTGCACTTCAACCCTAAACCCTAAATCCGCTCCCATGCATGTCCTCCCAGCCTGAATTATGTAGATGCCAGCCAGGAGAGGCAAGGTGTCCTGTTTAGTGTTTAGGGTTTAGGGTTTAGGATTTGGGGTTTAGGGAAGCGACAGGCAAGCTGGGACATCGGATGACTTGAAGTGCTTCGCCACGCCTCACCCTCTGAGCTCCACGGGCGCAGGTCCTGGACGAGAGTTGACACAAGACGATGCACGCAGGCACACAGGGAAACAGTTGGTCGTCTGCACCTTCTCATAGTTCCAGTACAGGCGCGCGAAAGGCTCTGAGAGCATTATGTGGCAGCCAGCACGCGAAGAGAGTGAGAAGCTGCTCAGGGGCATCCAGCCCCAAACCCTAAACCCTAAATCCTAAACCCTAAACCCTAAACCCCAAATTCTAAAGCCACCCGAAGTCACCCGGCGCAAGCGGCTACTGTATGTACCCCGAAATTAGGCGACATGCTCAAACTCGAAACCCAAGACACCTGTGGCACGCGGCTTTACGTTTAGGGTTAGGGTTTATAATATAATCCTGAACCAAAAGCCCATTAAAGTGCTAGAATCCAACTCCCACAGGGGAACCAAGGCAGAAGTGCCCAGTAAGTGCCCAGTAGCAGGCACGAAGAGGATGGTAGACAGAAAAAAACAACAACACAGGTCATGTGAGGGCAGCTTGCCATCTTCCCTGCATAGGATGGGGGACCCGAGTTCCTGTGCATTTTCTCGCACTCAAAAAACCTACTGTACGAAACGGACAACATTAAGCCCCCGGAGTCTTCGAACTTGTTCTGCAGCTGCTAGTGCCAACACATGGGTCTTTCCCAAAATAGAGGTACCCCTTTGTTCTACCCAAAATAGAACAGAATCCCCTTAAAGCGACCCCCCCCCCCCAAAAAAAAAAAAAAAAAAACGGTGCCCCTATTGTCGGAACCCCCCATATATACACCATGTCGGCACAGAAGGTGCGCCTGCCATGCGTCAGAAGTAGCTCGAGAGCAAGCGCACTGGGGTCCTGGAAGCCAAGGCTTCAGCTCCAGGCTTCGTTTCTAGGCTTTAGGGTTGAGGGTTTAGGGTTTAGGGTTTGGGTTTAGGGTTTAGGGTTTAGGGTTTAGGGTTTAGGGTTTAGGGTTTAGGGTTTAGGGTTTAGGGTTTAGGGTTTAGGGTTTAGGGTTTAGGTTTTAGGGGTTAGGGTTTAGGGTTTAGGGTTTAGGGTTTAGGGTTTAGGGTTTAGGGTTTAGGGTTTAGGGTTTAGGGTTTAGGGTTTAGGGTTTAGGGTTTAGGGTTTAGGGTTTAGGGTTTAGGGTTTAGGGTTCAGTTCTATTTCCACAAACCTTGGAAAACTGGACTTTCAGGATACTCGCAATAATACTGCTATGTGTATTCTTCGCACCTAGTACTCTATTTATCCTGTACTTTCATAGCAATAGCAATAGCAATGATACGATTCTCCTCTACATGATGCTAACAACAATCACGATATCACTCCCCTAACATGATGCCCCCACTACCCCCCCCTGATATCAAATACCCTCCCCCCTCCATATACTATAACATAACTATAATAGGGGTATTCAATATTGGGGTAGGGGTATTCAATATTGGGGTAGGGGGTGGGGGGCGGGCAGGTTAATATATCAGGGGGAGGGGATTGTCTTTTGTTGCCCCGCCTGTCGCGTTCACCAGGTTGTCCACGTCGGGGGCCCGCGGCGCAACACGGAAGGAGTACTGGCAGCCTGACTCTGTCGTATCTGCGCGGTGTTGGGTTTAGGGTTTAGGGTTTAGGGTTTAGGGTTTAGGGTTTAGGGTTCAGGGTTTAGGGCTTGGGGTTCAGAGCTTTTTCGGGCAGGTCGGGCAAACAAAAATCAGCTCGGACGCACAGAATGCCTGCCAGGCACAGCGCGCGGACTTTCAGCGCAAAGAGCGTTCCTGGGCTCGCGGGACTTGGGCGTAGCCATGCGTGACCATCTTGCTTTCGGGACTTGAGACTCTAAACTCCCTAAACCCTAAACCCTAAACCCTAAATCCTAAACCCTAAACCCTAAACCCTAAACTCCTCTGGCAGCACTCTGGGGAAGGCACTCATGGCAAAACCAGCCGTTGGCGAGACGAAGAGCTCAGCAGCTGGCCTGGGGCTTGCTGCTAACCGGGGAAGGGTTTAGGGTTTAGGGTTTAGGGTTTAGGGTTTAGGGTTCAGGGTTTAGTGTTTCGGGTTTCGGGTTTCGGGTTTCGGGCTTCGGGTTTCGGGTTTCGGGTTTGGGTTGATTGTTTAGCTCTCGGTTGCTTCTTTGCATAGGGACCTGCGGAGACCCAACCCCATTCACCCGGCTCCTCGACCCTGGTCCTGGGCTCCGCTTATGCAAGTTGCCTCTTGAGCTTCAAGTTTAGGGTTTAGGGCTTAGGGTTTAGGGTTCAGGGTTTCGGGTCTTGCCCTAACCTTCGCGAAGGCGCTCGCTGAAGAACGACTTAAAGACAGGCTGCCACAAAAGGCCACGCATGTGACGCTCAAGAAGTATGCGTACAATCCAGGCCCTACAACGGCTGCAGAAGGAGGGCAACTATAACCCTAAACCCTAAACCCTAAACCCTAAACCCTAAACCCCAAACGTACCCAGTGCAGAAGAGGGCTGATGGTGGAGATGATGCTTGGTACCTGTAAGAACCCAAGTTCACCTACCTTGCTTTGCAGGAACCCAAGTTAACCTACCTTGCCTTGAAGGATACCTAACAGTCCTATAAGGCGTCTTATCGTAGTAAGTTATTGCGAAGAACCTGTTTTTTGCAGCAAGTGGATTGGGTTACAAGGGTTCAGCACGGCTCACGTTGGGCCCTTTCGGGCCGGAGCCAATTTCTGAGAGGCGCACGGTAGCACTCGGGTCACAGGCGCGCCGTAGTAGGCCCAGACCTCACATGGACAAGGGTTTGCAGCGTAGGGTGTACAGGTTCTTTCCCAAGTCGGTAGAACTCTCAACCACCCTCACATCCGTGTTACAGGAAAACTGCAAAACAAAAGGGTTCCGTACCACTGTGACCACTGTCTTGGTGCACCCCAATTCTAGCGAGTCTAAAAACCCTAAACCCTAAACCCTGAAACCTAAACCCTAAAACCTGAACCCTAAACCCTAAACCCTAAACCCCACAGGCTGGGTGCTTCGCAGCCAGCCTTCCGGGACTGAACTAGATCCATCCCAAGTTCCCAGCATTGGGTGGCAAGGACAGCGATGCCGCGGTCAATGCATCCAGATCTTGGGGGGTGGGGGGGGGCAAGGTGAGGGTTTAGGGTTTAGGGTTTAGGGTTTAGGGTTAAGGGTTTAGGGTTTCGGGTTTCGAGTTTAGGGTTTAGGGTTTACGGTTGAGGGTAGGGCGAATCGGGTTCCAGAAGGACGCTTGGATTTGTAACTGTTGCTCATATTGGCGACTAGCACTGGTGGATGTTGCTGAGTGCTCAGAATAGAAAGATGCAGAAACAAACGAATGAACGAAAGTACGCCATTACTTGCCAGCAATTACTCATGTATACAAATTCGTATCTTTGCAGTTCTACACGATATATGGTAGGGCATGTACACGACGGTAGCATGCAATGGTAGTGGGGCTGGGTCCACGTGGTTCCCGAGGAAATTCACGAGCTCCGCATGCTCCCTAAACCCTAAACCCTAAACCCTAAACCCTAAACCCTAAACCCTAAACCCTAAACCCTAAACCCTAAACCCTAAACCCTAAACCCTAAACCCTAAACCCTAACTTGCCAAATCCGCGCTTTCGGGCTGCCGGCTGGAGATGTGACTTCGCATGGCCTGGAAAGGTTCAGGAACCCATTGGGGCCCTGATCCTGTAGCGGCGAACATTTCGGGCTTGGAGTTTGTAAGGTTCAGGGTTTAGGGTTTAGGGTGTAGGGTTTAGGGCTTAGGGTCTAGGGTTTCGGGGGCATTTGGAGATTCAGCATTTTAGGGTTTTCGGGGAATGGGTTTGTTAGCTTGCTTTTAGGGTTTAGGCTGCTTCGGGCATCTTCGTGTGCCAGGTTGGGATGTTCCCCCTTCTACTAGCAGCCCTTAATCGCATAGGGGGTACTGTAATCCCTATTAAAGGCTGTTAGTCTAAGGGGGATTATCCCAAAGTATCCCCCAAAAGGACATCCAATAGATACACTCTAATCTTGATAAGCAAATTTATAAGAAACCCTTTATACACTCACCAAGAAGAGGAATATAAGCCCCTTAGCCAAAAAGGTGGTTTACGAAAACAGGGGTTTCAATATAGATCCCCAAATAGTAGGGATTTATTCCTTATAATACTTTCCGCAACCCCATATGGTCACTTCTCTGAACTATGGTCCCTGATTTTTGGGGTACCCGAAATAGTAGGGTCCTTAGAGTTCATGGATTTATTTTTGAGAAGTGACCATCTTAGTAGCCCGGTAACCATATTATAATAAGGACACTTTTTTGGGTTGGCTACTTTAGAAGGGAACCCAGAACCCCCCCCCAAAAAAAAAAGGAAAAGGGTACCGCTGGGCTACCAAGCCACATTACAGAAGCCCCAAGATAATCTGGTTCATGGTTGGGATAGGAATAAAATTGTAAAATTGTTCTTCCTTATTGAGTTTAAGTACCCTTAAAAAAGACCCTAAACCCTAAACCCTAAACCCTAGACCCTAAACCCTAAACCCTAAACCCTAAACCCCGCACAACCTCACCTCACGCGCTGCCGCCCCGCTTGCCACCAGGAGCTGGAAGGTGTGGGACCTCGGCAGATTCCCAGAGAGCCCAATACTCCTTAAGGAATATACCGTAAATTATAAGGGTTTCGGGTTTAGGGTTTAGGCTTTAGGGTTTAGGGTTTAGGGTGACCTTAAATTGTAAAGGGATCCTTCATATGATTTAAGGAATAGTCCTCAATGAAGGCGTATTGGGCTCTTTGGGTTCCAGCCTACTCCAACTCAGGGGCGTCCCCTAAACCCTAAACCTTAAACCTCCTATTTGCCCCCCCAAGATAGATTTAAAAAGAGTAAACTACATAAATGAAAGAGAATAATCCCCTTATATACCCTTTATAGGGAAGAAGATAATATAGGGGTTGGAAGAATTACTGATAATATTTCCTTACGGTCCTTTTTTTTGTATTCTATAAGAAGGTGAGTGTTGGTTGAAGGCGGTGCATTTCATCTCAAAGAGGGTCTAGGGTTTAGGGTTCAGGGTTTCCAGTTTAGGGGTCTAGGGGTTTAGGGTTTAGGGTTTGGGCTTTAGGGTTTGGGGTATTTCCCCGGCGGCCAAGGCAAGAGCAATCCAATCGCCAGGGAAGATAGAGGGACTGCGGCCTGCAAAGCAAGCTTGCGGCACTGGAGAAGGGGAAGGGGCCCGGTAACGCGCAAGCTTGTGACGATTTGGCTATATACTAGTTATACCACCCTAAACCTATTCCTGGTCCCCCGGCCCTAAACCCTAAACCCTAAACCCTAAACCCGTGTGAGGATGCGTGAGGGGCAGCAAACAGAGTCTGGTCCGCGTGGCATCTGCAGCTCATGGCCGTGTCACCTGCAGAACCTGCCCTGTCCTCAACATCACAGTACTTGGAGGTTCATAGTGCTTATTAAACAATTATCACTGTACTTATAACCTACTTATAAGCCCCGTAAGTGCCCCAATATGAACCTCCAAGTAGAGAGTACAAGTTACTACCAATTGCTTAAGGACCCCCAAAAAAGCAAAACATATTAAAACATATTCTTCCTCATAAGGGTAATATCTAGGGATCTTCATTCTTATTCGTTGGGGGTTCTTATGCAAATAGTAGGTTAGGAGGGTTTAGGGTCCAGGGCGCAACCCGACTTAGTTTGAAGGCGCCACCTCTGGCAGGGATCTACCTAAACCCTAAACCCTAAACCCTAAACCCTAAACCCTAAACACTTCTTTCCTCCGGCGAGTTGTACCAGTTCGCAGTTCGATGAAACGCATTCTATGCTAGCAGTGGAGCTTAAACTCCTTTGCCGTAAATCGCTGGGCCGCTCAAAAGCTTTGAATGGAGGTCAGGTTGATTTTTCTGGCTCTTGTGATGAGGAAACTTAAATTTAAGTTAACAGATTGGGGCTGTAGAGCATCGAATGTAGTATCCGTATCACGGTATCTTCAAGTTCCTTCTACCAAGCTTGCTCCTGACATGTCATCAAGGCTTGCGCAGTCCCAGCGTTCGTTACTTGAACAGAATCTGGATCATCAGTGTGCTGGAGTCGTACCTGAAGCTCGCACAATCCCAACCCTGGGGACTAATATTCCTCCAACGTACTATCGTACTTGTTCTGATAAGAAGCAGGAAAAGGTCCCGCAATTGTAGGAGTCAGCAGTCTCTACTATGATGAGAACCAGGAAAGGGTCCCCATTCTCGGAACCACCCGATAATCCTCATTCTGATCGCAAGTTTACCGGGCCTACCAGCAAGAAAGCTGAGGATCCTCCTTCTGTGTGAACCACACGCGAATTTCTTAGTGAGGGAGCACTGTCGAGTCTCCAGCAGCAACTGGCACAAGCCAAGTTTTGCATAAACCCTAAACCCTAGACCCTAGACCCTAAACCCTAAACCCTAAACCCTAAACCCTAAACCCCAAATCAGCACTCCCTCACTTTTTTGTAAAGGCTGTGCTGTGGGCGGCGTGGCCGCTCAGCGGCTCGCACATTTGCCCAGAAAAGCACTTCGAGAAGATCTGGCTCAGGGGACAGGATAGCAACTGAACCCTACACACTCTAAGCCCTAGCAAGCCGTAGCAATCTTGGCTGCACTTAGGAGGGTAGTAAAAAACTAAACTTTTAGCTGCCTTATTAAGAAGCCCAATAAACCCAAAAAGGCTAAAGATCTAAAGTTACAGTAAAGTACCACAAAGCAATGTCCAAGGCTTGCAGAATTACTCAAAGGTTTCTCGCACCAGGCCCCATGCCCGGCAGCGTTGAATCCCTCGGCACTTTGGCACTCAGATAGAAGTTAAGAAATGATTGAGCCTGCTCTTCAGAGCCTCTCAGGGAGTCGTTTCAGGCTTCCCGGCTTTGCTTCTGTTTCTTGTTCAGGGTTTAGGGTTTAGGGTTTAGGGTTTAGGGTTTAGGGTTTAGGGTTTAGGGTTTAGGGTTTAGGGTTTAGGGTTTAGGGTTTAGGGTTTCTCGGCTTTGTTTCTGGTTTTGCGTGCCAAGCAGGCTTTCCAAAGTCTAAGTCAGCACTCAGATGTGTGGAGACTGCTCGTTTCAGGGACCCTGGGACCCTAAAAGCCTTGAAAACCGCCAAGGCTGTATACCTGCAACGATCAATCAGGCTATGTTGGGATGCTCCCCCTTATGCTAACAGTCCTTAGCAGGGATTGTAGTACCCCCTATTATAATCAACAATCCCCACTAAGGACTGTGAGTATAAGGGGGAACACACCAAAGGCTCTCCATTGCTTTCGAGGTCGTGCCTGCGATGTCATTGCGGCACCTGAAGTCTACGCAATCCGAGCACACGGAGCCAACAAAAATGGGGAGGGTAGGTTTTGGGGGTTGAGGGGCTGCGAATCAGAGAGAGAGAGAGATGGAACCCTAAACCCTAAGCCCTAAGCCCTAACCCTAAATCCTAAACCGGCCGAATGAAGTTGAGCCGAAGGGACTCGGGCGCGGCAGATTCACCGCAGGTTTCTCCCGGCGCACTGCCACGCGGCCTGGGAATTACGGAGGGTTTAGGGTCTAAACCCCAGACCCTATAAACCCTAAACCCTAAACCCAGTAAGCCCTAAACCCTAGCCCTAAACCCTAAACCCTCAACCCTAAACCCTATCCCTAAACCCCAAACCCCAAACACGAAACCCGTGGCCTGGGTTCGACTGCGCAAACCGCGCCGGCTGCAGCATTGTGTCGAACATGGGAGCTTCGGGCTCGGCAACCTCCAGCACCTCACAGGGTTGGTTGTTTAGGGTTTAGGGTTTAGGGTTTAGGGTTTAGGGTTTAGGGTTTAGGGTTTAGGGTTTAGGGTTTAGGGTTTAGGTTTTCTGCCAGCACCTCACAGGCCGGGCGGTTTAGGGCTACTTTAGAGGTTCTTTAGGGCTTATTTTAAGGGGTTCATACTCCCTAAACCCTAAATTAAACCTTAAAGCCTAGAACCCTCGACCCTAAGCCCTACTGCAGGGTTTCAGGCGCTTCAAACATGACCCTTTGGAGGCTTGGCTGCTCATTTTTGTCGCAAGGCACCGGCTCCAGGTTCAGACCCAGCTTCTCGAAGCCCTGCTGGATGTCCTGGAAGCGCCTGAGGAAAGGGGGGGGGGTGGGGGTTTTGGGGGTTTTGGGGGTTTTGGGGGTTTTGGGGGTTCTGGGGTTTTGGGGGTTTTGGGGGTTTTGGGGTTTTGGGGGTTTTGGGGGTTCTGGGGTTTTGGGGGGTTTTTGGGTTTTGGGCCTTGGGGTCCTAAATAAGCAAAGGAGCTCTGTGATGCGCAGCATGTTCCGATGCTGCCGCTGTAGATGGCACAGCAGACCATCTGAAACCTTGGTTTGCAGTCTAGAAGTCTAGGGTTTAGGGTTTAGGGGGGTCTTTGCCGGTGTACATGTCAGGAGGAGGCGTGCCGAGTCTTTGCACTCCGACTCACACAGTGAACGGTCCGACTGCACACCACGCTCCCCCCTGTGTTGGGGCTCACGGCCGTGGGGCAATGACCCGAACTCTCCCGAAACCCTAAACCCTAAAACCTAAATCCTAAACCCTAAACCCCAAACCCTAAACCGCCGCATGGTCTTGGCAACTAGGGAGCCCATCGCGGCGCATCACGAGGCATGGCGGCCTGCACGGCGGCACTTGAGGAGATTCTGGGGTTTAGGGTTTAGGGTTTGGGGTTTAGGGTTTAGGGTTCGAACACAATGTGGGGACCGAATAAGCCCCAAACTTGGGGCCACAAATCTCTACTAACTCCTGCAATCCCCCAAATAAGGTGTCTGAACCCATAAACCTTTTCGGTGTTCTTAAGGAGGTTTAGGGTTTAGGGTTTAGGGTTTAGGGTTTAGGGTTCGAACACAACGTGGGTCCCCAAGGCAGAGCTTCATCATCCAAAAGGAGTCCGTCTCGGCCTCCGCCTCTGAGCCCGCGGTTGCCAGATCCGGCCTCGGCTCGTGGGAAGGAAAATCGCGCAAGTGACGCACTCTGACTCAGCCCCAAGCATCCCTAAACCCTAAACCCTAAACCCTAAACCCTAAACCCTAAACCCTAAACCCTAAACCCTAAACCCTAAACCCTAAACCCTAAACCCTAAACCCTAAACCCTAACCCTAAACCTAAACCCTATAGGCTCCGGAGGCGCCGATGCTCGGCATCTGCCAGGGAGACCCATCCTAGCCGCGTTTTGGGGTGGGGTCAGACTTAGGCGACGTCGACGTGGGGTGAGGAGAGAGCCCAACACTCCTTAACTAAGGAATATCCCTTAAATTATAAAAGGATCCTAAATATGATCTAAGGAATAGTCCTTGATTAAGGGGTATTGGGCTCTTTGGGTAAGGCTTCTACAGCGAGTGTAGAGGGTCTTGACAAGGCTGCGGGGGGTGTATTCTAGGCCTCTTAGTTGGCTTTTTGAGGGGCTTTTATAGAGTCTTGACAAGGCTCTAAGAGGTGAGAGGGCTTTGTAGGGTCTTTGTAAAGCATTCGCAGCGGTTTTAGGGGTTTGGGCGTCCCGGCTCTTGGGGCAAGTTGTTGGGGCCCGTGGCTTTCGACCCCCCCCCCCCGCCTCCAACACAGGACTGGGCCCAGATCTGACCGTCCTTGGAGAATCATGTAATGTCATGCACATGATAATCAACAGAATATATATATATATATATACATATATATATATTTCTATGTATATCTGTACATATATGTATATCGGGACATATATGCATGAGCTGCTAATGTAATATATTAAAAACAAGCCTGCAGACTCGCTTTCGTTCAAAACACGACTGTCCCGCTATGGCAGCTTTACTGCATGCGGACTCGGGGAGGGCGATCACTACGGCTGCAGCCGCGTTGCTACCTTCCTGAAGTTGACCACTTGCACAGAGTCCATCGCCTAGCGGCTCCATGGGGTTTAGGGTTTAGGGCTAGGGTTTAGGGCTAGGGTTTAGGGGTGTTTGGGGTTTGGGGTTGCACGTCGCAGTGGCTGCATGGCTACTCACCGGGCACACCAGGGCAGAGCCCCCTGAGCTCCGTGCGTGAAGGTGGCTTACCACCTCTGATCCGCCAGGTTCGGTGTATGCAGTGGCGTCGGACTTCATCACCTCGGCAGGAAACTCCCCTACACCCTCAACCCTCAACCCTAAACCCTAAACCCTAAACCCTAACCCTAAACCCTGAACCGTCCCCGAGATCAAGCTCGTCCATCGGAGAATGAAGGCAATGATCTTCGATAGTGCAGCCCAGGCCACATACATTCCATCTGGAATGTGGGACTCCTGGGCTGAAGGCTAAAGGATCCTCTGTAGCTTGTGGCGACTCTCCTGCAATTCATGCAACTCTCACGAGGACGGGTTCCAGCACACGTTGCTGGCTGCGTAGTGACAGGCTGGCCGAAGCAGAGCATGAGAGCACGCAGCAGAGCGAGAATCAAGAGACCAAACGTGTAGCTGTCCTCTCGTTCCACCCTCGTACCACAGCATGTGACTAAACCCAAAACTAAGCCCTAAACCCTAAACCCTAAAACTAAACCCTAAACCTCCCGTTGTTCGGGGTAGGAAGCCGATCTCGTAAAGCAGACACCCTTCACCTGCTCCCAAGGGCTTTAGGGCTTCTGTCTTGCAGCTGGGCAACCATGCGCGAAGCAAAGCGATAGCCAGAATCCCGATCTACCAGTGAAATCCACCCAGCTGGGTTCCTGGGCGGTTTCAGACTTAGCTTCTACACCTACCTTGGGGACGACATGAACCCTAAAATTGGGGCTCATATACCCTGACTACTATAATTCCCATTCAGGTGTATGAACCATAAACCCTTTTTGGGTTCATTTGAGGTCCCCAAGGTACTAGTCGTTCTTCGCAGGGAATCAGGGAGGTAGCGGGTCAGGTGCCTCAATATGTTTTAGTTCGCCAGGGAGCGAAGCCCCAATAACCCTACCAAGAGCTACTGCTAGGGTTTAGGGTTTGGGTTTAGGGTTTAGGGTTTAGGGTTTAGGGTTTAGGGTTTAGGGTTTAGGGTTTAGGGTTTAGGGTTTAGGGTTTAGGGTTTAGGGTTTAGGGTTTAGGGTTTAGGGTTTAGGGTTTAGGGTTTAGGGTGGGCATTTACGCCGGATGTTGTGGATTGCGCTGCTGACAACATACTTGCCGTGCCTAGCTGCCTGGCTGAGGTGCTAATATTCAGATTCAGCCTGCGTCGAACTGAAACCTTCACAAAATATATGAAGCAGGGTTTATATTACTGTTCCTGGTGAGTGTATAGAAGGTTCCTTTTTAATATTGGTGAGTGTATATACCGGGTGTCCTTTTGGGGATACAAGAAATATAAACCCTACTTCATATCAACCTACCGCACTGCGGCAAATCTGCGTGATGCGCCCCCGCTTTCGCGAGGCATATTGATCCTCGTCGAAGTACTCCTGGCAAGAGGCGCAGAGCTTGCAGAGAGGCCGGCCTACACGCAACGAAAGCAGCCCTAAACCCTAAACCCTAAACCCTAAACCCTAAACCCTAAACCCTAAACCCTAAACCCTAAACCCTAAACCCTAAACCCTAAACCCTAAACCCTAAACCACAACATCTGCGCAAAGGTCCAGCACCACTTCCACGACGTTGACCATCTGCCCCTCCGGGAGCTCCGCCAAGAGCGGAGATGAAAGGCTGATGTCCTCGACAAGATTTTCAGGACGGGCTATTATACCCTACAACCCCTTCAAAAGGCCCTTTGTAGGGTTAGGGGGGATTATACTGCTATGCCCTATAACCTTGAAAAGGCCCTTTATAGGGTTGGATAGGGGGATTATGCTGCTATGCCCTCTAACCCCCTTGAAAGGGCCCTTTGTAGGGTTGACTATGGGGATTCTAAGGCCGAATAGCCATCCTGGTTTGCATTATAATGCAGGGTCCCTAGGACTACATCACGATATGGGGGTTTACGAAAAATAGGGGGACCTATATAAAGACCCCAAATAGTAGGATCCCCTTATAATAGGGCCCCAATAAGGTGCCCCTAAGTTCGGCAAACCCCCCTATGCTACGATGCTAAGTTCACGTTGCTGCGCTGCAGCCACTCACGTAGCTGCCCTCCGCTGCCGGAACGCAGCGAGGCACCTCTTTGAGTGAGGGAGGATCTCAAAATCATAGTGTTGGAGATACGGAGACCTATACTGGTCTCCAAACCCTTCTTTATCATTGTACATATATATATATATAGAGATAATAATAATAATAATAGTAATCTATATATATATATACATATACATATGCACATTACATCTGCAAGAAGGGTTGCGTCGACTTAGCTCGCTTCGATCGCTCCCACCGAATGCCCTCGACAGTCCTGTCGAAGGTGGGCTCCATCCTGGGCCAGGCTTTTAAGAGTCGTAAGCCCAAATGGGCTAGAGTGGTTTAGGGTTTAGGGTTTAGGGTTTAGGGCTTAGGGTTCTAAGACTAGGCGGGCCTTGCAGTTAGAGATCCTCTCTACCATTCCGTGTCTGGTAAGACTCATCGACCACGCCTAAACCCCAAACCCCAAACCCTAAACCCCAAACCCCAACCCCTAAACCTAAACCCCGCAACCCTTGAACCCAGAAAGCTAGCCGTTTCCTGGCCTCTCAACGAGTCAAGGGGCGCAAGGAGGGACACTTTTCAGGAGCCTTTGGGGTTATTTCGGGGGTTGTTCAGGGGCTACTTAGGTGCAGAGGGACCATATGAATATAAGGCATATAAGGTACATAGGAACCATATAAGGTATATAAGATATACAGCGACTATATAAGGTATATAAGGTATTAAGGTATATAAGGTATACAAGGTATATAAGGGAAAAAAGGTATATGAGGTATATAAGGTAGATAGGGACTTTCTAAGGTGCACAAGGGGTCCCTCCATATACCCCTTAAGGCCTAAGCTTGCCAAGCAGCGTGGAGAATGACGTAGGTGCCCTCGAAATCTGGCTCTTTCTTGCTGGGGTCCTGTTTAGGGTCTAGGGTTTCGGGTTTCGGGTTTAGGGTCTCGGGTTTAGGGTTTAGGGTTTCGGCTTCAGGGTTCGGGTTTCCCATGCTAAATGGGGGTTTCCGAAATTAGGGGTACCTGATTATCCTTACTATAAGGGAATTGTACTACTTGGGGGGTCTATATTAGGGGTCCCCTATTCTCGTAAAGATCGCGGGCATGCAATTAGATAGGCCTACATTCGAACACCGCCCATTTGGATGGTTCGCTTCGTCACTTTAACTCACACAGAACCAGCGTATCACTCGGAAGAACTCCTCCCACATCTCCGCCCACACGTAGCCTGCCAACAGGGCCCAAAAAAGGCTTCAGACCGCTGGGTGAGTGACACTACGGGGGGCGACTGGCATCTCTCGACTCCAGATTTGCTTCCTAAGCCATAACACCATGCTCGAGAGCCCAGAAATGGTAAGTGCCCAACCCTGCCTGAGTCTGGGTCCTCAGATGTTCAAGCGAAGTTGAGAAGTTGCTCTCGAATAGGGCGGGGTTGGGGGAACTCAGGGCTGGATTCGTGTTGGGGTCAGGGTTCAGGGTGCTGGAGTGGGTGTTCAGGGTCAGTTGTCTCTGACTGGGTGACCATGGGTGGTCTCCGAAAAACCTCGGCTCTGCAATAGCTGCTTACCCAAAACCCCAAACCCTAAACCCTAAACGTTCCGGGGGTAGGGGTGTGGGTGCCATGGGCCACGGTAATGAAGATGCCCAACAAACGGCATCGTCGACTCGCACCACATCGGCGGTCACTTCGGGGTGTTTGCCTCTGCGGCTTTCCTATCGCTGTGGTCCTGCACTTGGCCAACCAAGCCGCCATTGCCTCCTCGTCTCAGTTCTCGTGCATATTGGGCTTGCGAACATGGGGTACCCATTTTGGGGGGTCCTTGTTAGTATAAGGGGATCCTACCATTTTGGGGGTTCAAGTTTAGGGTCCCCTATTGTCGTCAGCCCCCAACTGGGCTCAACACTTGCATCTTTGAATCTGGCCCTTGCCCTAAACCCTAAACCCCAAACCCCAAACCCTAAACCCTAGACCCTAAACCCTAAAGCCCCCCGTGGTGCTCCCGCTTTTCTTGCGGGATGGTCGCACCGCCCGCAGGTCCGGTGAGCATGCGCGAGTCAGGGGTCTTCCCCCAGAAGGAGACCAAGGCTCAGTCAGAATCCGTCTTGGAGTTTAGGGTTTAGGGCTTAGGGTTTAGGGTTAGGGGTTTAGGGCTTAGGGTTTAGGGTTTCGGGGGTCCTGATCCTTGTAAGCCCTAAACCCTAGGTCTGTTTGCTAGGGAAGAGGCGAAGATAGAAAGCCAGCCAGCGTTGTCTTGCATCTCGCCCATCAATCGTCGTAGACCGTCGCCTTCAGCACTTTCAAACAATGCAGCAGCACATGTCTGGCAAACAAGCCACTAGCACAAAGGCATAAACTTCCTGAGGAGGGAGGGAGAGTGCGAGTGTGAGTGAGAGTGATGAGAGTGAGAGTGAGAGTGCGAGTGCGAGTGGGATTGGGAGTCAAGAGGGGAGAGGGCAGAGGGGAGAGGGGAGAGGGGAGAGGCAAAGGAGGAGAGGGGGAGTGGAGTTGGGAGGGGCACTCACTACTTCAATTCACGCAGCACCTTGGCCTCTGGCCGTGGAGTTCGCCCGAATTGGAGTTGGGAGAGGGGAGAGGAATTGGAGAGGGAGAGGGGAGAGAGGGAATAGAGGAGAGGAGAGAGGGAGAGAGTAGAGGGGAGAGGAGGGGAGAGAGGGGAGAGAGGGAGAGAGGGAGAGAGGGAGAGAGGGAGAGAGAGAGGGGAGAGGGAGGGGGGAGAGAGAGGGGAGAGAGAAGGGAGAAGGGAGAGGGGAGAGGGGAGGCGGGGAGGGGAGGAAACCTAGCTTCCTGCCCCCCAATGGTCCCCTCCAATCCTGTCAGCAAACCCGCTTCAACAAACGGCGTCCAACCAATGCGTTTCCTGAACTTGCATGGTCCACGGCGTGCAAAGATGCAGCATTCGATGTACACGCACGTGTGGCCTCCGATGTAGTCCTTCGTCCGTGCGATCTCTACTTTGTCCCCCTGGGCAAGCCTGCCAGAAGACGAAAGCAGCTGAGCCAAAATCTCTCAACGCTGCATGGCCAAGCACTAGGGGTTCTCTCATTGGTTGAAACGCATCAGTCCTGCATTGCACATTGTGTCGAATCCTTCAGCGTGTACTATATGCTGGATAGGTGGAGGTGAAGGCAACGGTGGGAATTGGTAAGCCAAGGAAGGACAACAAACGACACCGAGCCGTTCAGCTATGCCCTAAACCCTAAACCCTAAACCCTAAACCCTCAACCCTATAAACCCTAAAACCTCTTTACGGGGTCCAAACCCCGCTTGCCTGGTGACGAGGTCGGAATTCACATTTGGCAGTGCTCGGACATCGCAGCCATAAGGGCACGTAACGATGTACGTCGCCGGACCTGGGAGGCGCACTTCCTGTTGGGTTTAGGGTTTAGGGTATAGGGTCTAGGGTCTAGGGTTTAGGGTTTAGGGTTTAGGGTTTGGCCCCGCCCCCCCCCCCCCCCCCCGCCCCTCCGCACAAACCTCTCCCACGGGCTTCAGCTTGGTTCTTGAATCTGCGATCGGCTGGCTAATTTTCCAACACTCCTAGACTCTCTAAACCCCTACCTAGGACCCTCTTTACCTGCAGTTTTATGGGTTATGCCTACTATTTAAGGGTACTTAGTACTAAGCTGCAGGTAAATAGAGTCCAGGCATACTCTCTTAAGCAGCTCTCTCCGAGACCGTCCAGCGAATGGTTCGGCCCGACTTTCTCCAAGGACTGCCAGCTCTTAGGGTTCAGGGTTTCGGGTTTAGGGTTTAGGGGTTAGGGGTTAGGCCTTCGGGCTTAGGATTTAGGACTTAGGGCTGAGGGTTTAGGGTCCCCAGTGTCACCCGAACAGTCCAAGCCACCCAAGTCCCACACAGTGTCCTCAGTTGGTCAAGATGTCAATGGCAAGAAGCTGTAGCCAGAGCAAGCCGTGGCAAGGGCGCATCAAGTGTTCGAGCTCTAAACCCTAAACCCTAAGCCCTAAACCCTAAACCCTAAACCCTCAACCCTAAACCCTAAACCCTATTCTGCCTCTCATCCGTGCCAGGGCGCCGGAGCCGTCAGCGGCTCGGCGGGCTCCTTGCAGAGCGCCCTACTTACATGAGTCAGGGGAGGCCTTGCCCAGTTTGGGTAATTGCACCACCGTGGCCCAGATCATAGCCATAAAATCCTAAAACACTTTACCATATAGAAAATAAGGTGCAATTATCCAAAATGGACAAGGTAATGGGGTCGCCCATTTTGGGTTATTACATCACCGTGAACATATAAATCAAAACTAGTAGATCTTCATGCTGATCCCTGGGTAGTACAACAGTGCAACCCCCTCCCCAATTTGGGCTAGCTAAGGAAGCTCTCCTGAAATTGGAATCAAGTAAGGGCCGCAAGTTGTTTCCGTCCTCCATCCAGATCTTTGCTTCTTTGTAGCTCTTGAACTGCTTGTCCTGCCACAGTGGACAGATCAATTGCCGCCATTGCCCTCTGCACGTGAAATCACAGCAAAACAACATCAAAACAACAGCAACACCTAACCCTACGAATCGTATAAACCCTACAACAAACCTTGTAAACCCGATAAACCCTCTAACCCTTAAACCCTACAAACCTTGCAAACCCTATAAAACCCTCTCACCCTGCAACACTCTATCAGACCCTCTAACCCCTCAAACCCTATAAAACCCCATAAAACCCTATAAAACCCTATACAACCCTATAAAACCCTATAAAACCCTACAAACCTTGCAAACCCTAGACCACACGCCCCGGATCTGGTGCCCTCCTGGATGGTGCGGATGCCGTCGCGCACGTCGTCGACACCCAGGAGGATGCTTGCGATGGCTTCGCCCAGAAGCGTCGGCTGGCCACGGATGGTGTCCTTGGTTAGCAACCATCTTACAATGTTATAGAAATATTGCAAAGGGAATGATACTCGCAATACTAGCAGTAGTAGCAGTCGTCGTCGCCGCCGTCGTCGTCAGCCGCCGCGTGCAGAAATGCAACACCAAATCATGACAACTTGAATAGTGACCATGCCTAGACTGTGAAACTTGTAGCAACAAACATCTTTTTTTAGTGCTCGTAAAGCGCGCAACCATCATAATGGCAGTTATCACAAGAACGGTGGAGATGGTCATCGTAATAGTAATGGTAAATAGTAACAGAAATAATGATAGAAAGAGCAATAGGAATAGTACTAGTAATAGTAAGAGTAGTAGTAATCGTAAGCGTACTAGTTATAGTGATAGGAAAAGGTATGGGTAATAGAAATAGTAATAGTAGTAGTCATAGTAATCGTACTAGTGATCGTAATAGTGATAGTAATAGGAATCGTAATAGTAATAGTATTAGTGAAAAGTCATAGCGATAGGAATTGTAATTGTAGTAGTAATAGTAATCATACTAGTAATAGCAAAAGTAATAGTAATAGTCATAGTCATAGCAAGTGTAATAGTAATTGCAGTAGTAATAGCAATAGTAGTGGTAATGGCAATGGCAATAGCGATAGCATTAAAAATTAACAGCAATAAAAGCCACAACAGTAACAAGAGCAATGTCAGCAATTCTGGTGGTAACAATACCAAAGATGTTCATGGCAATGTTCATCGTAGTAATCGTATTGATTAGAAGAACACACAATAGTAGTAGCAATAAGAGCAGCAGGAACAAGAATAGTATTAAGAATAGTATTACGAACAAGGGTAATGAAGACAAGGCAATGAAAGTAGTAAGCGTGAGTATCGTCAAAATACTCATAATATATATATATATATATATGTAAATATATATATATATATATATATATATACATGTAGATATATATATATATATATACACACCTATAAAAAAAAAACATACATGTATATCATATATGGTAGTAGCATCCATAACGAAATGAAGATATCTGTACTGCTAACAATAGTAGCTTAGCTTGCTGGAAGGCTGAAGAAGACCGAAAAAATACCCAGATGATCATTACTAATCATGTTCGATATGCTCGAACGATCGACGAACAGCAGGCCTCCAAAAAACAAGGACGTCCTTAGCCCCACCGGCTGGCACACAGAACAGCTAACTAAAACACGATTCGCAGCGTAGAAACAGGTCACAAGGTTGTCGGACTGTGAAACTCCGTGGGCCGGAGTTGCGCTTGCCGGAAACCAGCGGCTAGGCGATGCCCTGGTGACGCAGCAAGTGCTGCCAAGGTGCATTCACAGCCCGAAGCTCGGCCAAATCAAAGATCTGCTCCACCTGGCCGAACAAAAACCAGGGTTTAGGGTTTAGGGTTGAGGGTTTAGGGCTTTAGGGTTGAGGGTTTAGGGTTTAATGCCAAGTGCCACACAAATCCACACATCCCAACTTCAAAAATGGCCGCCTGCTCATCAGTGATCCCGCGGAAGATCTCCCGGAATCCTGCGGACATGCTTGATTCACACATTACACACCCCGAAGCTGTTCCAACGGCCTGATGCCATTTCTCAAGCTAGAGACTCTTCGAGACGAACATGTAAGTAGGTAGTCGGGTTGAGGGTTTAGGGGACAGGGAAGCTTCTGGAGATTGCACCTTAGGAATTGGTATTCGGGGCTGAAGGTTTGCTAGGATGGCCCTTAAAACCCTCTGAAAAATGTTCTTATACATGGCCCTCTGAATCCCAATATGGGAAATCAAAAAGCAAAACCTCCCAAGGGCATAGTTTAGTTTAGGCTTTGGGGAAGCTTCTGGACACGAACATACAAAAGCAATGAGTAATGGGGTTGAGGGTTTAGGGTTGTAGGGAAGCTTGTGGAGATTGTACCTTGAGGCTTAGCGAAGCTATGCGAAGCTTCCGGAGATTGTGCCTTGCTTGGTGATGACTTCCAACTTGGTGTTGCTGATCCCGGTCAGCAGGTCGAAGGAAGACTCGGAAGGTCAGGTCAGCATGACTTAAGCCTAAAGCCTCTAACCCTAAAGCCTGATTAAGCCCTAGGCCCTAAACCCTAAACCCTAAACCCCAAACCCTGAACCCTAAACCTTAAACCCTAAACCTCTAAACCTTTAAACCCTAAACCCTAAACCCTAAACCCTAAACCCTAAGCTCAATCACAGCGCACTGCAGGCTTCGGCGCGCCCGTGCACACTAAAATTGGCTGAGCCCAAACATGAAGTAGGGTGTTAGGGTTTAGGGTGTCTGTTTCTAGCATCCCCAAAAAGGACCCCAAACACCTACAGTCGCCAATGTTTATGAGGAACCGCCTATCTCAGAAATAGATAAATATCAAAATAACTATATATCTATGTAGTTATTGAAAGAATAATGTACACATGCAAATATAAAAATAAAGAATAATGCATAAATAAACGAATATGAATATATATATATATATATATATATACATCTACATATACATATACATGTGAGTTTGGGGTTTAGGGTTAAGGGTGCACCCCAAGCAATTTTAATATAGACTCTGCATGACCCTACCTCATATGATGCAATGCCACCCAATGCATATTCGACGTGGCTTTTGGCCGTGTGCCTTGGAGGCTTTGGTGAAACAACCCGCTCCCCCAACCCCCCGCTGCATTGTGGGAGGAGCCAAACTTCTACGGTCCCCCACAACCGTTTCAATCATGACCCCATATACCTTCAAACCGCAGTTAGGGACTTTAACGCACCCTCAAACTCAAACCTCTTCGTAAGACCCGCAACTCTCGTGTAACAGAGCCGACATTGCACATGCTCGGAATCGGAGTTCCTCGTCTTTCTCCACCCATCTCCCAGAAGCCCTGGAGACCCCCGACCTCTTGCGAGACATTTGGGGAGTGTCCAGGGACCCCAATCGCCAACGCAAAAAAATCTGGCAGTACGAAAACTTTGCCAAACAGGAGCGAGCAGCATACCACTTTGACACGTTCCGCAGAGCCACAAAGTGCCTCCGGATGGTTGTCCATAGCGTGTCCTGGCACCGATTCCCTGAACACGATTGCCCTCCTGACTTCTCGGCTCTTCTGATGGCCCTTAGGGTTTAGGGTTTAGGGTTTAGGGGTTAGGGGTTTAGGGTTTAGGGTTTAGGGTTTAGGGAAAGATGAAGCTCCTCCCCCCCCCCCAAAGACTTGAGAGAACAGGTCGATTTTAAGCTCTACCTTAAGAATCCAACAATCTTTTTTTTTTTTTTCTGGGGTTTAGGGTTTAGGTTTTATATAGGGTTTAGGGTTCCTCTTACACATCCCGTATAGGATTCTTGGGCAGCCTACACAAAAAAGCAGGCTTCGGGTTCTCAAGGTACTTGCAAAAATGACATCTCCCGACACTTGGAAGGCCCCTGGAAGTACAGGGTCTTGCATCTCATCGTCGGATGAGGGTTTATAGGGTTTCGGGTGTCAGGTTTAGCGTTTAGGGTTTCGGGTTTGGGGCGAGCCTGCTGCGTGACACCAGCACGGATCTTGCCGTAGCAGTCGAAGATAACAGCCAGGACCTCTTGCTGAGTCTTTTCGTTCTTGTTTAGGGGGTTTAGGGTTGAGGGGTTTAGGGGTTGTTTTCTGGGGGTGTTAAGGGTGTCCTGCCCCTTTATCATGCCAACTGAGCAGCCATGCTCCGCTAGGTCCGTTAGGTCGGGATGTGAACATTTGGTTTGGATGCGTGGGTCTACGCCAATCGCCTTGCGCCTGCCCTGCTGCCATTGTACTGGTATCTTTCGCGACCGACGTCGACTTAACGATCTGCATCATGACAGCAGCCCAAGCAAGGCTACATGGAGTCCCAATGCAAGCCGATGCCTACGCGGCACCTGCGCACGGCATATGGTCAACCTGCGTGGCGACCACACGCCTGCAATGCCAGCCGAGCAACGATGTTGATGACGACGAGACTGACCACGATGATCATGCACCAAATCCATATGGCTGCTGTCCACCAGTCCTGAAATTGGCAGGGAATCTAAGCCCTAAACCCTAAACCCTAAACCCTAAGCCCTAAGCCCTAACCCTAAACCTCCAGCCAAGATTCCTGTTCCGTAATCACGTCCCAGTCCGTCTTGAATGACACCACCTGCACTACAAGCTGCATGTGTGAGAGCGCATCGCAACATCGCGTGCGCGGCTGCACATGACGAACCGAGCACAGATGTCTGAAACCTGCCGTGGCATCCCAATACTTCTTGTAGCCCGGACTTGCCTCTTGGATTTGAGGCCAAGAGCCGGCCGGACGTGTCTCCATAAGTTTAGGGCTTAGGGTTTATGGTTTGGGGTTTCGGGTTTCGGGTAAACCCTAAACCCGAAATTCTAAACACAAATCCCATCCTCTGACCCACACCGGCGGGGGCGCTCCTGCTCCAGAGACTTCGCGAAGGCGCCCTTGACTGTCCTGCAAGGACACAAGGTCTGGCGGTGTCTTTCCGTTAAAGTTTAGGATTGATTTGGGTTTAGGGTTGAGGGGTTAAGGCTTGGCATATACCTTCTTTCCGTATGAACCCACTGTAACCCACTACCTTGACACAAAATGGACCCTGAAAGGGCTACTGGTCCACATCCTAAGAGGGACTATAGTAACTATAGTAGTATGGGGTGTCATGACACCAATTTTAGGGTTCACTTCATCCCCAAAGTATCTCTTTGGTACGTTGCCTATAGTGTAAGAAGCATGAAGGGAACACACAGACACAACCCACAAGGCACTACCAGATGGGGGGGGGGGGGGGGGGGCGGGTTTTGAAGGAAGGTGACGCTGGCGGCTGGTGACGGATTCTTGCATGGCCAGTGCACTACCTTGGGGACCATACGTAACATTGCTGTTCCGACACCCCATACTACTATCATTCCCTATTAAAATATATGGACCATAAACCCTTTAAGGGATCTTTTGGGCCCAAGGTAGTAGACACCAGATGCTGAAGGCCAACTGCTCGGCCGAGCGGCGAGAAGTCTCGCAGCTTGGACCCGAAAAGGATGTGGCCGGCGATGACGAACGCGGAGAAGATGAACAGAAACACGACAAACCTTCGGGTTCTGTTGGGCAAATATATTCTGCCTTAAGACTTTTTTGATGCATGTATGTATGTATGTCTGTATGTACGTACGTTCGTATGAATGGTTGTATGTATCGTGCGTGCGAGGTTTGGCAGGTGCCAGAGTGTGCACAGATCGCACTCAGAACGGCTTCCGCTCCCTTCCGCCGAGGGGCAAGTGAAGGATGTCCTGAAAGGCCATCTCCAGGGTGTTCGCCAGCCTTGGGCTTGAGATGGGCTTTGGGGTTTGGGGTTTGGGGCTTAGGGTTTAACATCTAGAAGCTAAGGCACACGGAAAGATGGGCTTAGGCTACACAGGCGGGACACAAGGCCAGCCGAGGCTGGCCCTTGGAAGCCACCAGGAACTGGAAGAGGAGTAGAATGTGGAACAGGGCGATGAGGACCAGCATGTCACCTGAGTAGCGCTTCATCTGTGGCGACACCCTAAACCCTAAACCCTAAACCCTTAAACCCTAAACCCTAAAGCCTATGCGGGCGTGCGGGAGCATGCGAGCTTCTTGCCAATCCGACCAAACATGCCATTTCCCATTGGGATGCATCCAAGGGGCCGTCGGCCTTGGACGCCCAGTAGATGACAGTGTGCAGTTTCCTTGGCTGTACTTAGGAGGGTAGCTATAAATTATAGGAAACCCAATAAGCCCAAAAGGCTAAGGATCTAAAGTTACAGTACAGCAAAGTTTCGTGAACCAGCTGATGTCAAAGTCTTGCAGGTTCGTCGAACTCACATCTGGCCGTATCACCAGGTACTCCTCATCACAAGACATGAAGCTCCCGTTGACACCCGCAGCCCACTAAACCCTAAACCCTAAACCCTAAACCCTAAACCCTAAACCCTAAACCCTAAACCCTAAACCCTAAACCCTAAACCTTCGGGGATCTGCTTTGACCTCGGCATCGCCCTCCGCTCCTCCAAGAGATCTCTGGCGCGCAACATCTCCCAGCGCTCCATCGCCATGAGAATCCTGACAGGTGAACATTGGGTTTAGGGTTTAGGGTTTAGGGTTTAGGGTTTAGGGTTTAGGGTTTGGGGTTTAGGGTTTAGGGTTTAGGGCTTATTTCATCCGATGTCCCTCCTACACGGCAAAGCCAGACACCAGCTTCAGACTGTCAGGCTGTGGTCTAAACAGGGAGATTGCACACGAAACTCGTATAGTCACATAAACACAAGTATATATAAGTAAATATACATAGATATATATATATACATATATATATATATATATATATGAACACATGTATTTCATGCGCTTCTGAACCTGTATGTCTATATATATTTTTATATATGTATATATGTATATATGTATATATGTATATATGTATATATGTATATATGTATATATGTATATATGTATATATGTATATATGTATATGCAAATAGACAAGAAACACATAAGTGTACATATATATATATATATGTACATATGTGCACACTCAGCCAGGTCGCACGACTACCAGGCCAATGACGACCTCGACTGTTGGAGCTCTCCGGGGCTTGATCTACGGCATTCCTCTGACTTTGCACTTGAGACCCCTAAACCCTAAACCCTAAACCCTGAACCCTAAACCCTAAACCCTAAACCCCCCTAGACCCTAAACCCTAAACCCTAAACCCTGAACCCTAAACCCTGAACCCTACACTCCAAAGGAGTTGAAACTACAGTCGAAGCCCGTGCCAAGAGGCAATGCTCCACTGGACATAGGTCCTTAGGATCTCACGGCCTCTCATGATGCACTGCGAACTCTCATGATGCACTTAGCATGGAATGGATGCTTCCGCACAGAGGGAAGGCTCCTCATAGACCCCAAAGTAGTAGAATCCCTTTTAGGGTTTAGGGTTTAGGGTTTAGGGTTTAGGGTTTAGGGTTTAGGGTTTAGGGTTTAGGGTTTACTACATAGGAACCCCACCCACATGGATGGGAAACCCTTAAATGAACATGCCCCAGCTGCGACAAGTTGGAGAAGTGCACGGATGCTTTGCCGTTTGAGAAGGCAATGACGATGCGCCCAACGAGGACCTGAGGAATTGTCTTGACATGCCTTGAGATGCCGTGGACAACATGTTGAACAGTCGGAGAGCGCAACCTTGAACCCCAAACCCTAAACCCTAAACCTAAAGCCTAAACCCAGGCAGAGACTAGTAACCCCCCCCCCAAAAAAAAAAAGAGGTATGTATGTATTATATATAGAGTAATAATAATCATAATAATACTGTTCATAATAATGATCCTTATAAGGGTAGTATAGGGATTATTGTTTTTGTATACTCTTTTGGGGTTCTTAAGCGAATAGTAGGAGAGTTGCGCGGGCTGTGTGCCTTTCTATAAACCTTTGGGGAAAAATATACGCTCACTCAGCCTATCAGGGTTATCCGGGGGGAGGGAGGGTTTAGGGTTTAGGGTTTAGGGTTTAGGGCTTCGGGTTTAGGGTTTAGGGTTTAGGGTTTAGGGTTTCGGGTTTAGGGACTCATAGAAAAGGCGCCCTGAGGGGTTCTGCGAACCAGACTATGCTCCGAGCCACCATCAGGGCGCCGAAGAGCAGGAGGACCCAAAGCGCCGCGAAGATGATCGCCACCTGAAGGACGCAATAGCAGGGTGGGTTAGGGTTTAGGGTTTGGGGTTTGGGGTTTGGGGTTTGGGGTTTAGGGTTTAGGGTTTAGGGTTGAGGGTTGAGGGTTGAGGGTTTACGGTTTAGGGTTAAGGGTTTAGGGTACCAGCAACTTGTCTTTTCTGAAATTGAACAAAACTGCAGCACAGCCCAGATCCACTAGTTCATGCCAAGTGGCGAATGAGTTGTCCATATGGAGCGACCGCAGATGCACTTGTGTGAACACCTCTCCTGAAAGGCCAAGCACTCGGCAGGCCACGCACATCAACGTCGCCAAATGAGGAAGCCGAAACCCTAAACCCCAAACTCTGAACCCCGAACCCCTACTTGACCCTGAACCCCTAAACCCTGAACCCTAAGCCCTCAAACCTGAACCATAAACCCTGTAGACCCTAAACCCTTACCCCCAAACTCTAAACCCCCAAACCCTTAAACCGCTAAACCCCTACACCCCTAAACCCTCAACCCGAAACCCTAAACTCTGAACCCCTAAACCCCAAGCCCTAGACCCGAAACACTAAACTCTGAACCCCTAAACCCCAAACCCCCAAACCCGAAATTCTGAAGCCCTAAACCCTAAACCCGAAACCCTAAATTCTGAACCCCTGAACCCTGAAGCCTCAACCCTAAGCCCTATACACCCGAGCCCCAAACCCCAAAACCCTAAGTTCTGAACTCCTAGACCCTCAACCCTCAACCCTATATAACCCTATTCTCAACAACCCTAACCCCAAAACCCTAGCCCCAAACCCCAAGCCCCAAACCCTAAACCCCAAATGCACTAATCATGGCTCCTCCGCGGCTGAGGAGGAAGTTGACGACCATGTGGGTGCAAATTCTCGTCTGCCTCCCAGAGCTGGCGCTTTGGACTTTGGTGGGCTTGGGGTTTAGGGTTTCGGGCTTAGGGTTCAGGGTTTAGGGTTTAGGGTGCGGGAACCGAAAAGAACTACCAAGTTTCCTAGGGAGGAACCTCGAGGCAACCCCGTTTACACACGTTGCGTTCCCGGCCTGTTGATGACGACAGTCTCGGCGCTGAAGATCTCAGCAGTCGTCAGATGTTACTATGGGTGCGGCTCGGTTCGCATGGACGCAGACTCAGAGCTGACGATTGCACAGAGTTCCGTAAGAACACAGAGCCTACATTTGCAATAGGTGATTGCCGAAGGTTAGGACGATAGAACCCTGTATGCGGTTCTTTATGCGATTCTTAGGTAACCTGCAAGAACAAGGTCGGCTGTGGGGTTCCTTGGGATGAAGCTACGCCAACGGCACAAACTTTTCCATCCTCAAAGACCAAGGCTTAGGGTTTCGGCAAGCCAGGGCATCGGGGTTCGGGGTTTAGGGTTCTAGGAACAGGGTTTTAGGGCCAGGGCTTTAGGGGTTTAGGGGTCTAGTGGTTAGGGGTTTAGGGTTATGGGAAATAGGGTTGAGGGCCAAAGCTTCGGGGTAAAATAGGGTTGAGGGCCAGAGCTTCGGGGTAACCAGCCCCACATTTCTGCGCCTGTCTCCTTCACACACGCCACGCACCGAGAAGCGCCATGAGGTGCAAGCCAGGGGATCCAGGTTAACGTTTAGGGTTTAGGGTTTAGGGTTTAGGGTTTAGGGTTTAGGGTTTAGGGTTTAGGGTTTAGGGCTTAGGGGATAATCTGAGCACCAAGCCAGACTCCTCGCTGTCAACAGCTGACTCATTTCCGATTGCCTGGGCGAGAGATCAACGGCTTGTGGCGCCTTGGGGCATGCCTTTTGGTACCCTAGACCCTAAACCCGAAACCCTACAACCCTAAAACCCTAAACCCTCAACCCAATTCCTGTGCTGAGCTAAATTTGAGGTTGCTGGAACTTTTGTATCTTTGCGGGTTCCGTGCTGAGGCACCACCCCTGCAGCTGCGCAGAGACGTCCGCAGCAGCACGGCTCATGGGAATCACCTTGACGGCGGCCTGACAGATATCAGAGAAGGAGAACACCACACCAACATTGTTATAGAGGGTTTAGATTTTAGGGTTTGACCCTGAACTCTAAACCCAAAACCCGAAGCGTCGTCTATGTTTCGTAGCCTACAACTCTGCGCGCTAGGGTCCTTCAGCGAAGTGTAAAGCCAGAAGGTATGCGGAGACAGGTGAGGTGCGGCCTGTCCACCACAACCCTAAACCCCAAGCCTAAACCCGAAACCCTAAACCCTACACCCTAAACCCTAAACCCTAAACCCTAAACCTTAAACCCTAAACCGCAAACCCCTAGCCTTAAGATGCTGGATGCCCAAACCGGCACCATGTTTCAGAGACTTGGCACTCAACCCTGAAGCCCCAAAACTCAGAGCTCCAAAGCCCTACGTAAACCCTAAATCCCTGAACCCTAAGCGCCAAAACAAGCCCAAGCCCTAAGCCCTGCCTTAGCCCTGAACCCTAAACCCCCCTAAAAACCCTAAAGCCTTCGGAGACGAAGTCTGAAAAGCTGCGTTTGCAAGGAGGGCACCAAAATTCACGACCTGGCACCCTAAGCCCTAAACCCCTAAACTCTAAACCCCAGACCTCAGAACCCCAGAACACTAAACCCTAAACCCAAAAACTCGAAACCCTAAACCCTAAAATCCTAAACCCCTCCATGTGGAAAAAGAACCCTAAACCCTAAACCCTAAACCCCAAACCCTAAACCCTAAACCCTAGACCCTAAACCCAAGGGGGTCGGCCTTTGAGTCGCCATTCGCATCGGGGAGTCCATCCATGATCACCTCAGCGTGGAAGGCAAAGGCAGCGTAAAAGGGTTTAGGGTTTAGGGTTTAGGGCTTCTAGCCTTCCAGGGTTTAGGGCTCTTCAGGCTTTAGGGTTTGAGGGTTTTAGGGTTTAGGGCTTAGGGCTGGCTTGAAGGCTTAAATGGTGCTTCAGGGTTGCGGCTCTGGGTTCTGTTTACGGGTACTCTAAACCCTAAACCCTAAACCCTAAACCCTAAACCCTAAACCCGGGTCTAGGGTTTTAGGGCTCCAGGGGTTTCAGGGTTTAGGGTTTTAGGGTTCCAGGGCTTGGGTTAAGGGCTGTTCACAAGGCCAAATATGATCATGTGATGTACTACTAGAAATAGTACTCCTGATTACTCGTCTTGTTTTAGTACTATTCGAACGTGAATACTTACAACTAAGTATGCTTACTCATGTGTGTTGTCAGTCTTATTATGTGTGATTCTTCTTCTCAGAACTGCTATCCTTATACTATTGCTTATTGGTGCTACTAGCGCTAGTGCCAAAAGCGGCATCATCGTCGTGATTGCTATGGGTATTGTTCATTTTTAGTTGCAGATTCTTTGCGAACCATAAGAGCATCATCATTACAATTCTGCTTGCTACTCATTTTATGTCATTGAAATCTTCATGTTGTACAGTTTTGACGAATGGTTGCTCAGAAGCTCTTGAGCATTTCGCCAAGTAGCCGAGGTCGTCGCAACAAGACGGCGCGGCCTGAACATCTTGCTTGATTAGGACCCTAAACCCTAACCCTACGCTACACCCTAAACCCTAAACCCTAAACCCTAAAGCCTAAACCCTAAACCCTAAACCCTGAACCTTAAACGGGCCTAAAAGCCCTTCGACTGCCGGATTCGCTGCGCAGCTCCTCTAGAGATCCTATGAACCCTCCAGAATCCTAAGCCCGAAACCCTAAGTCCTAAACCCGAAATCCTAAAACCGTGAATCCAAAACCCCAAATCCTGAGGTCCAAGCACCCCACAATCCTAAACCATAAACCCCAAAACCCGCAATCCTAGACCCCTCGTCCCTGGGCCTGCTCTGCACAGGTTCGTCTCGGCGGAATCCAAAACCTTTGCGGGGCGGCTGTAATCGAGCTTAAACCCTAGGGAACCCTAAAAACCCGATGCAAACCCTGTGAACACAATACGCCCCCTTAGCCCCTATGAACCCTTTAATTCACACCTTGTGCGTCCTATGAGCCCTACAAATCCCATAAACCCGACACCCTGGGAAACTGAATGCATCCCAGTGGTGTTCAGGCTTCGCACCAGACTCAGGACAGATATGACATTATGGCATACGCTGTCAGAGCAACGGAATTGTGGTACTAGGCTTAGGGCTAGAGGGGATAGGATTTGGGATTAGAACTCAATATCAGAACATCATCTTCGCCTTGTCAAGCTGCAAGAAAAACCGGATGATTTAATCATCTTCGCCTATGAAACCCCATACGAAACCCATAAAAACCCGGGCTTGACCTCGTAGGGAGTCCTGGGGAGCAGGGATTGCTCAGGAATTTTGCTGTTCTGGTCTGGGTTGTCGCTCTTCTCAGAATGCGCATGGGGACTTAGGGCCTGAGGTTGCGGGCTCCGTCTGCGTTGGACAAGGAGCTTCAATTCCGACAAGGAGTCAAGGAGGCTCACGCTTGTAGACACGTCATGCGTTTCACTTCTGGATTTTGGCGCTGTGTCATCCCAAGTTGAGATACCGCGATGCCCCATTGGAAGTGGGGAGGTGAGGTGGCCGAGGGTCTCTGGTTTCAAAGCAGGCTGGAATTTGGCACTCTACTCCACTGCCTCTCCGGTTTAGGGTTTAGGGTTCAGGGTTTATAAGGTTTAAGGTTTAGGGCCTGTAGGGTTTAGGGTTTACTTGTCCGCGCAGCGTCCACTTGGAGTGATGTGCATTCTGACCGGCTGATGTGTGGTAAGCTTCGCCCCCCCCCCCCCCCGCCTCCCGCTACCAGAGTTTCGTGACGACAAAGCTACTGCCTAGCGACAACTTCCGTCTAGCTACAAGCTCAACAAAACATGACGTAAACGCTCTTTGCCTGGCAAAGCCAAGAGCTACGACAGAACAGCTTCCATGCGCTTGGTCTTGCACCGGCGACGCTGCAAGTGCTATAGCTGCCTTGGGGACTAAATCAACCTTATAATTAGGATCATATATAGCTGATCATGACCTCGCAGAACTTGCAGTCCGTCCACGCTGTTTTTCTTAGCAGCAGTATTGGTCGATCACCTTCCCGCAACACCGGGCGGACCCCCTCGCAATGTGGCCGCCAGCGCAGCTGATGCGGAGATCGCGCCGTTCCGGGCATTTGTGTGCTCAGTCTCCTCCTTACTTGACGCACGTTGGGAGGACATGGAGCTGCCGGTCAACTCATCAAGTTCCTCGTTGTCCGCTCTCGGAATGCAGCGGTACATTCGGATGAGCGCCTGGACATCAAGTTCACACTACAGCAATTGCCCGGATACCACTCTGTGAACCCCGAGCACTCAAAAAGAGCTAGGAGGGTCGAACCCCCCCCCCAACCTACTTCAAAATTTCTTATCACTACTTCGAACATCCCCACCCTGAAAGTGGGTGCGTGGGCACTCCAGGGGTTATGTCGGGGCGTACTTCTGGGATCATCTGCGGCAAGGGATTTTCGCGCTAGAAAAATATCAGATCTTTTTTTCAGAAACTCCGAATCCCTGCTCCTGTGGCTGGAGAATCAGAAAAACCACGGTATATACAGCATAGTTCTGAATTGTTTTCTGATTTTTTCTGAATTCTGATCTCCCCGCCCCCCCGCCCCCCCCAAGCCCTGGGGCCCTGGAGGGGGGCATTTCAAAAAAACTCAAAAAAGTGCTGCTTGTCTGACTTTCCATGTTTCTGCAGCATATTTCTGAAATATTTTCTGCTTTTTTCTGAATTCTGATCTCCCCGCCCCCCCGCCCCCCCCCCCAACCCCTGGACCCTGGAGGGGGGCATGTCAAAAAGAATCAAAAACGCGCTGTGTATACCATGCTTTTCTGACTTTCCATGCCCCAGGGCGGGCATCCGGACCACAATATTTTTTCTGATTTTTTCTGAATTCTGATCTCCCGCTCCTAGGGGAGCATTTCAGGAATCACACCGAAGCAGATTCAGAAAATAAATAAGAAACTTTTCACAGACCAAAAAAGTAATCAGAAACTTTTTCAGAAATATTTCAGAAAAAAATTCAGATCCGCATTTGCTTGATAAGCCAGCGGCTCCCCAAGACTTCTAGCTGTCGCACAAGGGCGTTGCCGCAGCCAAGTCGGGAGATTGCGCCCAAAACCTTGATGGAAAGCAAAGTGCCCTGGAATTTGAAACTGACAGCTCCGGCAGCACTGCCGCTAGGAGCTGGGAACCATCCTCACTTTGCAGCTTGTGTTCGAACTGATTCAACATGACCTTCTTGGCCGTGAGGAAAATTTCCTGAAGCTCCAGTGAAGGCTGCGGTCCCACGACCACTGCACCAGCCGCTTTGAGCTCCTGCAAGCGATCTAGGCCGTCGTCTGAACTAAGCTCCTCGTCATCCACACTGTCACAAAGACACTGCCTCATGGAGTCGTGTGTGTGTCCTCGGAAATATGTTCTTCCTGCACCTGCATCTGCCTCTCTGGAGTGGTTGATGCAGCCTGCTGCGGAGTCAAACTGAATGCAGCCCGGGCTGACTCCAGCATCCGGCTGCGCGTCTTGACCTGGTGTCGGAGCCAGACAGGGATGACAAACATGGCAAAAATCGCATGAGCACCATCACCAGCATGGCCTCTGGGCGTTGAAGGCCTCGTTGGGGCACGAATAGTTGGCCGTGGCCCCATTTGTGTTGTGCTTTGGCGAAATGGCCCTGTAGAGCGGGGGTAGGGCAACCAGGAACATCGGAAAACGCCGAAAAATCGTCGTGAAGTTTGGGCTTTGGCTCGTCTACTCTGCAAAGGGAACAGAGCAGGGCCTTTTTGGAGGACAGCTGTCAGACCCTCACCATAATCAGCCACGAGGAGCTGCCGGTTGATCGGGTATCCCTGCAGCAACAAACAGGCTGCGTCAACCCCATTACGTCCTGCTGGGCATGTGGGGACCCGCTGCCCGAAAGCAACAGTCAGTGAGAGCACCAGTAGCAACAGCAGCGCCGTGAAGCCGGAAATCGGACAGACTCACCTAAGAAGTTGCCTGCTGAGCATGGCCCCTTTGCCAGGCAAAGGTAGTGAAGCTTTCGTAACAAAGCATGGCAGCCCCCAGAGTCTATTGCGCGGGATCTTCTCATGCATTCTTACCGAGTTGCTGGCAAGCCAAAGAGCATCCCCACGTCTGTGGGCCTTTCAAACCCTGTCGAACAAACAGTGCAACAAAAGGGAAGTTGAGGATGATCCTACACCCTACAACACCCCTACACAAATTGCAAGACTATGAAGCCCTAAACCCCAAACGACAAACCCCAAAGCCCAACCCTAAACCCTGAACCCTGAACCCTAAACCCCAAACCTCAAACCCTAAACCCCAAACCCCAAACCCTCAACCCTGAACCCTAAACCCTAAACCCGAAACACTATGTCAAGCCCAAGTCCAGGCAACGGGAGACTCGCTTGCGCTCACGTGGCAGCACCTCGAGACCTCAGGTATTCATGAGTCGTTGGAGGATCCTTACTACTTAGGATTTAGGGTTTGAAGGGTTTAAAGGGTTTAAAGGGTTTAGGTTTTGGGTTTAGGGTCTAGGGTCTAGGGTTTAGGGTCTAGGGTTTCGGGTTTAGGGTTTGTGGTTTGGGGTGCGGGGTTTGGGGTTTAGGGTTTAGGGGTCTAGGCTTTCGGATCTAGGGTGTAAATAGTTCTCAGCAGGGATTGAAGAATCAGACTAGATAGGTCCCCCCCCCTAGTATCCCAACAAGGGACTGTGCTTCAAACTAAACCCTAAACCCTAAACCCTAAACCCTAAACCCTAAACCCAAAACCCTAAACCCTAAACCGCCCTCCCCCCCGCCTCCTTGAAGGCGACGCCTCGGCTTCGGAGTCCGCGATCGCCTCTTCGCCGCGCGTCGCGGCTTTGGAGCTTCCGACTGCTCGGGTCCCACCTGCAACTTGCTGCGGTTTAGGGTTTAGGGTTTAGGGTTTAGGGTTTAGGGCTTAGGGCTTAGGGCTTAAGGCTTAGGGTTTAGGGGTAAGCCTGTAAGAGGTTAGAGCTTCCGAAAAACGGGTTCTAAACTCTTTGGGGGTTCCTAGACTTAGACCTTGCGATTGGAGAAGCGGACTTGACATTGTAGGACTCATCTCAGCTCCAAGCAGGGTGTACGCCCCGTCGCCCTCGCCAATTCCCTACTAAGAACCATTAACGGCACAGGCAGCAGAGTGATCAGCGAAGCGAGATGAAGGCCCCGCAAAGCGCGCCTGAACCTTGCGCCACGTGGACGAGGTCGAAGCGACGATGTCTTGCGGACGCCACCGCTGATAGAGCTGCATGAGGAAGTTGGGGCCTGGACACAGCGACCAAGAGGGAGTCAATGCTTCGAAGCCCCTAGACACGCACCCCTGAAAAATGTCCCCATTTTCAGGGAACCGGCAGTGCCCCCCTCCCATCTCTCTAAACCCTGATTCCCAAGACTGACTGCTTCAGCAGCTTGCAATCGGGCCTCGTTGCCCATGATCTCTGAACTCCTCAATGGAGAGCCGACGGTTCCGTACTTCCCATCCTCGGATAAAAACTTGGGAGGTTTCATGGCCCCAAACATTTAAGGCCTAGAGGGTTTCGGGTTTAGGGTTTAGGGTTTGGGGTTTGGGGTTTAGGGTTTAGGGTGGGGAGCCCTTCTATACCCTTCTAGACCTTTGAAAAGAGAGATGTCGTCTGCATGTCGTCAAAGCCTAGGCCTTCCGCTCGAATCTGCTCTTGCACTGTGATGGACCGGCTGTTGCATGAGTAGTGCTGGCGAGGCTCCATTGAGGACTGGATCATAGTTGATGGCGCGCTCGCCTTCCACGCATCACCCCTAAACCCTAAACCCTAAACCCCAAACCCTAAACCCTAAACCCTAAACCCGAAGGTGACCCTGTTACAACTACCCCCGTGTGCCGACCTCAGCAACCTGGAACCAGCAGCAACTGGCAGTCATTGGCAGCTTTGGGGCTGCTTTCGAAGCATCAGTGGAGCCTGGGGGGGGGACCTGGTCAGTATCTTTCAGGGCACTCGAGAGGAACCCTAAACCCTAAACCCTAAAACCTAAACCCTAAACCCTAAACAACCCTAAACAACCCTAAACAACCCTAAACAACCCTAAACCCTAAACCCTAAACCCTAAATCCTAAACCCTAAACCCTAAGCTCAGGTCGCCTTGGTCGTAGCACTCTGCTCCAGGGACGTAGATGCACTCCTCCACCGGGCTGCTGATGACCTTGAGCCTCGACAGGAAGTAGGGGTTTCGGGCTTAGGGTTTAGGGTGAAGCCACATGCGCCCGAAACCCTAAACCCTAAACCCTAAACCCGAAACCCTAAACCCCATGAGCAGAAGCGGCCAAGGAGCAAGGACCCGCCGAGCAAGATCATCTCTCTTGACGGTAGGATGCTCTCTTCAGGACCTCACGTCCGCAGGGGGCCAAAGGAGTTCATCTAGACCCAGGAGCAACCTAGGAAGAAAAAGGGTGCCCTTTTTGGTTTAAAGGGGATTATACGGAAACCTAACCCTAAACCCTAAACCCTAAACCCTATAAAAAGTGGAAGAAGCGCCTGCTCTGGGTTCTAGGCATCTATAAGACTTGACAGGGCCGTTCTGCTGTTCTACATGACCCCTGCTAGGAGAGTCAAGACATGGTTTTGGGCTCATGGACACCCCTAAGGGTTTAGGGTTTAGGGTTTAGTCGTGTTTAGTGTTGCTCGGAAGACTTATCGGAAGGGCCCCCCCTGGCCCCGCTTACGGCTCAGGGTTCAAGGGGTAGATGCGCAGGAAGGGACTCTTCAAAATGTCTTGCAGGGGGGCTCTTTCTAGATTCTAGATTCCTGGGATCACCAGGACCTTTGGCAAAGCTGAATTGGCACATTTGGCCATTTCACACGCCCGGGACCGTACTTGAAGAGAATGTGCTAATAGCTGAAAACCTCCGGGAGACGAGATCCGAAACAGAGACCCCCCACCGACCTGCCTGCAGCATTTGGAGCCGACCACAGGAACGGGAACCAGGTCGTCTCCATCCTGGTTTAGGGTTTAGGGTTTAGGGTTTAGATTAGGGGGACCCTTGGGGATGTAGACCCTCTGAATAAGGTCCCTGTTTAAGAGAGCCAGAAGAGGGTTGAGAAGGGTTACCTTTTAAGGGTCTCCCTTATCATACCTAGGATGGTTCACTCACAGAGCACTTCAAGAGAGATCGCTGCTCTGCCACCGCTATCTCACCTCCGAAGGCGCGGCACGCAAAGCCACAAATTGTCAGCCCGGCGTCCACTCGAAGATCTGCCCCACTTCGGAGATTTCTTGCGTCGCGTCGGTGAGCTGGTTGCGCAAGTTCCTTGGTGGCGGTTTGGGGTTTAGGGTTTCGGGTTGAGGGCTTGCGAAAGCAGATCCCAAGCATCAGGAACACAAGCACATCGATTTTGTGTTGCAACTTGGCAAGAGCCGTCGCGCGCGTCGCGATTCGGCGTGAGGGGCGCAACCTGCTATGTCGGCAAAACGCATCGCTGCTGCTGCGGCACTTCTCCTGCAAGTGGATCTCGTAGGTCCGGTAGTGCCTCGGTATAAATGTAAACCCTAAACCCTAAACCCTAAACCCTAAGACCCTAAAACCCCAAAACCCTAAACCCCAAGCCCAAAAACCCTAGCAGAATCCCAGGCAGAAGGGAGCATGCCCCGAAGCCGGGTCACTGCTGGACGGCCACACTGAACACGAAGAAGAATGCCATCGTCAAAAACAGCTGCAAGGACGTTCTCACCTGACACAGCTGGTCCAGCAAAGGGTTTCGGGTTTAGGGTTTGGGGTTTGGGGTTTAGGGTTTAGGGTTAAGGGTTTAGGGTTTAGGGCTGGGGACGTGGGGAGGCGCTTAGAAGCCCTCGTCAACTCGCAAGGTCCTGCAAGACAACTCTCAGCTCATCCTGTGTGCGGCCTCCCCCTGTAGCTCGAGGACCGCTGGAAGAAGCACCCGCTTGTCGGCGCCGCCTACGTTGCCATGGATTCTCAAGGCAGGATCATATGGAGCAACAGGGCTTAGGGTTTAGAGTTTAGGGTTTTAGGGTTTAGGGTTCTAGGGTCTTAGGGTTTTAGGGTTTTAGGGTTTTAGGGTTGCAGACACCCAGCCTCGAATTCCAGTCGTCACTACCTTTGCTTCTTTGGCCACTTTCTGCTGGAGACCTTTGCCACACCCGGGGGTGTAATGCTCAACTGAAGGGTTCAGAACATCGCAAGCATTCAAGACCTGCTCTGTGCCCTAAACCCTAAACCCCAAACCCTAAACCCTAAACCCTATATTGCGCAGTACGTGTGCCAGCCAAGGAACTTTTGCCCTCCGTGATGTCACCTGGGAAGCTGCGCTAACATGAAAATATCAAGAGGCCTTAAGGTTTAGGGTTTAGGGTTTAGGGTTTGGGGTTTTGGGGTTTGGGGTTTGGGGTTTGGGGTTTACGTCAACTTTACGAAAAGAGGAGACCCAAATGGACCCCCACAGAATAAGCCTCTTTGTAACAAGGACCCCGAGAAGGCACCCGAACTAAGATCGCAAACCCCCAACAGATAAGAAAGTCATCAAATGAGCACTCCGTGGGCGTATCCCTTAACAAAATAAGGTTTAGGGCTTGGGGTTTCGGGTTTAGGGCTATTTTTAGGAGTATACTAAGGGGAACCGTTTAGGGGTACAACCTTACTGGTGCGAGTCTTCATCCCTGGAGTCCTCAAGTGGGCACACCGCGGGCTCCAAAAGCATCGCATCTCCCTACGAATTGCTTAAGAACCCCGAAAGAAGGAACAAAAACATTCTTCCTTATTCAGGGTAGTATATGTATATATATATATATATGTATACGGGCTGTGTTTTTTTTTAATATTCTTTTGGGGTTCTTAAGCAAATAGCCGTTCCCAACTGTTTATCCTTCTGGGGCTCTTAAGCAAATACCCTAAACCCTAAACCCTAAACCCTAATAGTAGTTCCTTGCTCAGCCAGGCTGCGTAGCCGCGACTCCCCGTCCGGAAACTGGTCCTGTAGGATGCTCTTGGAGAAGTCGCTCTATGAACTCCTAACCCTAAACCTTGAACCCGAAACCCTAAACCCTATCCCTAAACCCTAAACCCTAAACCCTAAACCCTAAACCCTAAACCCTAAACCCTAGAACCTAAACACCTTAGCTACCTTTCTCGGTACCTGCTCAAGGGGCCGGCGACCTTGAGGCCTTGGGCGTGCCCATGCGTGCCATAGCAGGGGTCCTTATTCTTTTCATGGTTGTCCTCAGCCTTGTGCGTGTGCTCCAAACCTGAACAGTTTAGGGTTTAGGGTTTAGGGTTTAGGGTTTAGGGTTTAGGGTTTAGGGTTTAGGGTTTAGGGTGAACTTGGAGATCGCAGTGTGGGTTGGCGGTCGCCACCCTTCGGCAACCCCCCCCCCCCCAAGTACCCCCAGAAATCGAAGCACAAGGGAGGGTTCAGCCTGCAAAGTCCGATAGCCCCTGGGAGGGGTTTAGGGTGCAGAACTCAGAGTCGCCCAACTAGGAGAACAAAGAAAACAACAAATCGCGGCGGCCCCCGGCGTTGCTGCAAACCCTATGCCTCCTGGTTCGGGCTTAGGGTTTAGGGTTTAGGGTTTAGGGTTTAGGGTTTAGGGTTTAGGGTTTAGGGTTTAGGGTTTAGGGTTTAGGGTTTAGGGTTTAGGGTTTACTGTAGCTGCAGCTGATGCTGTCAGTTCTGGCGCCTATCACACCCCGAGGTCCCCCTGGCAAACCCCACCGAGTCAGCAACATCTTCCGGTTGGTTGGTAGGGAATCCCTTAAAGGGTCTATATCGGGCCCCAATTCCCTCATCCCTAAACCCTAAACCCTAAACCCTAAACTCTAAACCCTAAAAAGCCCTGGTAACCGACAGGAAGGCATCCAGCCGGGCAGCTGATGGATTTGGTAGTCTTTATGTCGTTCTTGATCTGCGTCTCTAGCTTGTCCTTGCAGGTGCAAGCGTCTCCATGGCGTGTCTCCATGCAAACCCTAAACCCTACACACTACCCTAAACCCTAAACCCTAAACCCTAAACCCTAAACCCTAAACCCTAAACCCTAAACCTCTATGGCACTCTGGGAGCTTCTCAGATTTCTCAGAAGCTCCTGAAGCGTGAAGTTCCGCAAGGTGAACGCGTTGGCCGAAGCGTTGTCATCGGGCCCGAGAAAGCTTGCCTTCCTGGTCACAACTGGGGGCGTTACGAAGATCAGGGACCCCTAATATAGCCCCCCCCGCCCCCCCCCCCACGTAGATTCTCTTATAGTAGGCTAGGCTGCCCGGTAACCAAGGCTTAAAAAGGGTGCTCTCTTTTGCTTGAAGGGGTTTATAAGGGAACCTAAACCCCCCAAAAAGGGAATAAGGGTACTACTGGGCATCCTAGTAGGGACCCAATAAGGAAATAAATAAACAATACATACACACATATACACACATATATGTATAAACATACACATACGTATACGTGTACATGTACATATACAATGACATTCAAAACATCTACATGTACGTACATATACATACATATTTAATATTATACATATTAATATGTATATATGTGTGTGGGTGGAGGAATATGTAAGTCGTCGAATGCTTGTGCGACCAACATACAAGAGATGCTGAACCTTGCTAGCCACGGACAGCCTAAACCCTAAAACCCTACACACCAACCTCTGTAAGCCCTGAACCCTCAACCTTGTCAGCCCTAAACCCGTTTACCCTATCAACACTGTTAAACCCTGTAAGCCCTGGCCCTGTGGGCCCCTCTAAACCCTAAACCCTAAACCCGAAACCCTAAACCCTAAACCCTAAACCCCAGGGGTATCCCAGGGCCTGAGCGTCTTCGACGAGACGTCGGAACCCAGGCTCGTCCTCGAGGCACTCGGTGAAAGCTTGATGGGTGGCGAGCCTGACAGCGAGCGCTTGTGGTGTCTGAGGCTTGGGTTTAGGGTTAAGGGTTAAGGGCTTAGGGTTTAGGGTTTAGGGTTTAGGGTTTAGGGGTTTAGGGGTTTAGGGGTTTAGGGGTTTAGGGGTTTAGGGGTTTAGGGGTTTAGGGGTTTAGGGGTTTAGGGGTTTAGGGGTTTAGGGGTTTAGGGGTTTAGGGGTTTAGGGGTTTAGGGGTTTAGGGTTTAGGGTTTAGGGTTTAGGGGTTTAGGGGTTTAGGGGTTTAGGGGTTTAGGGTTTAGGGTTTAGAGCCTGACAGCGAGCGCTTGCAAGGGGGTTCAGGGTTCTTAGGGTATAGGGTTTAGAGGGTTGAGGGTTCATAGGGTTTAAGGTCTATAGGGTTTAGAGGGTTTAAGGAGTTTAAGGTTTATAGTAGGGTTTGTGGGGCGCGCTCGAGTGCTTGCCACTGAGGTGGGCTGAGCGATAGTGCCGGCGGGCCGCTGTCTCCGCCGTCGGCCATGGAAGCCTTGCAACCTCATTGGGAAGACGGAAGATAATTCGAAGACGGACCTTAAACTTAAAACCCTCTGAAAAATGTTCCTAGATATGGTCCTCTTCCTGAATACATCCTCCCTAAACCCTAAACCCTAAACCTTATCAACCCTAAACCCTAAACCCTAAACCCTAAACCCTAAACCCTCCGGCCCGTGGGTCATCCAGCACGGGACAACCGTGGACAAAACTGCAAGAAGATGACTCAACCCTATAAGGGAAAATATACAACCTCATTGGGTAAAGGAATCCCCTCTTCCTCTAGTATTCAACCCCACCCCCCTACCCCCTAAGATAAAAATAGCCCCCCATGTACACAACTCTGATGCGCGTAGTATGTTAGGGTTCAGGGTTATCTATCTGCAGGTTTAGTAGTAACTATACTTGATTAGTAGGCATAGCCCATAAAACTGTAGGCAAAGAGGTTCCCAGATAAGACTTGCCGGCCAAGGGACCAGGGCTATATCCAGTAAACAAACAAACCAAAGTGGGCACGGAAACTTGTGCCACAATGGCTGCAGAGTGCGGCTCATGCGAGGGGGTCCACATGTGGGAGGCTCCATAGTCGAAGGCTGCTGATAAAAAAAGGGAAGCTCTCATTTTTGCCGGATTTGCTGATGAAGTGAGTAGTGTGAAATGCCGCTCTCTGGCGGTTTAGGTTTTAGGGTTTAGGGTCTAGGGTTCAGGGTTTAGGGTTTGAGATGTTTCAGGCTCTGGGAAGGGCCTCAAACTCCAGTGCCGATAGGGGTCCCGACGCCCCGCAAGGTTTGCCCCCTTCTGAGGCAGCATGCTGCAGCCCAGTCCCAAACATTCAATGTTACGGGTTTAGGGTTTAGCCGGGTTTAGGGTTTCGGGTTTAGGTGCTGGCAGGAATCGGAATGCTAACTTCAGGCGGATGGGGCGTTTGTGAGAAAAAAAGAGGAAACACACGATGCAGAGCCCATCCAATCTGTGGGCCTGTCATGGCAGTTGTTGCAAACTTGCTTTTCGGCGTCACCCTAGACCCTAGAGACCCTAGACACTAGACCATAAACCCTAAACCCTAAACGCTAGCTTCGCTGACATAGCCCTCGGCGAAAGCCCGCTGCCTCGAAGTTGTCGTCCCCCGAAAGGCCATCCTCAAGACATGGGGCCCATGGGTTAGGGTTGTTCGGGTTTAGGGTTTAGGGTTTAGGGTTTGGGGTTTGGGGTTTGGGGTTTGGGGTTTGGGGTTTAGGGAATAGGGTTTAGGGGTGCCCCTGTATGCAGCCATGCATCTGAGATGTTGGTGGCAACTGTCTCCAGAACCATCACTGGCCTGCAGAGAAAACTGGGTAGGCGCAAGTCCCTGTTCAATTCACTGCCGAGAATATTATAATCTCATATTCCCATAGCAGAATAACACATTAATATACGCGTATAATCAGACAATACTGTAGTACTATAAAAAACATAGCACATATCCAAAAATGTACTACTAAGCTGCAATAACATGATACAGTAGAATGTGTCGAAATGATTCGACGTGGAAGTGGAAGTGATCATCGAGCAAGATGAAACAAATAAGAATTGTAATCGTGAATTGAAAGAATCATATCCTTAGTTGTCCAGTACCTAGTGGAACTAAAGGTGAACCTTTGGGGATAGAAGGGGATTATATTGCCCCAAAAAGGCCAAAAAAGGTTAAAGGTTACATAGTCTACTACTAAGTATCATGCCTCATGATACAGCGCGCCTCGCTTCGCTGCCCAGCGTCTGCCCTGGCACTGTGGAAAGCACGACCTCGGCCGTTTTTCAGCGGGGAGCAAGCCTCGAGTTGCCAAGCAAGGTAGGGTTTTAGGGTGTATGGTTTCGGGTTTAATGTGGTATCCTGATTAGTGTGGGGGGGCCCCCCCCCCCCCCCAAACTAAATCCACCCCCGCAATAGTGTCACCAAAAAAAGGGACCCCCCCAAACTAATTTTCGGCCCCGGGCCCCCCCCCCACCGGCTCCTCTTCATTTCCTCTTCGCTCCTCTTCCCTCTCCTCTTCCTCTCCCTCTCCTCTTAGGTAATTAAGCTCAGGTAAGCTCAGATGCATCTTGTTCTCTTTTTTTCTCTCTTCCGAAACCCATGCCCGAAAAACTTTACTGTATTGTGGGGGGGGGCAATCGAATTTTGTCTCCTGAATAATTGTTGGAAAACTTTTCATTATTGGAGGGGTCCAGACTAATCAGGATACGACATTAGGGTTCAGGATTTAGGTGGGGTTGGGTTCTAGGTCTTATTGTTCTAGACCCAAGAGTAACCCGGGAAGAAAATGCGTACCCTTTTTGGTTTTAAGGGACTTATAGGGGAACATAAACCACTAAAACAAGGGAATAGCGACCTACTCCGGGGTCGTATTACCTGGCACCCTCTTTACCTGCTGTTTTGTGGTTAGACCTACTACTCATCAAGGTGTAGTTACTACTAAACTGTAGGCAAAGGGTCCCTAAACCCTAAACCCTAAACCCTAACCCTAAACCCTAAACCCTATTATAAACCCTAAAGCCTAAACCCGCCAAAAGGTTTAGGGTTCAAGGTGTACATCGGCTGGCTGAGCTAGCCAGGCGGGCATTTCATGGCGAGGCCCGGGATTCAACCAACCTATGCTTGTACTCGTGCCTCAGGACTACGAGGATGCGCACAATCTCAGTGAAGTGCGGTAAGGGCTTAGGGTTTAGGGATGTTTAGGGTTTAGGGTTTAGGGTTTAGGGTTTAGGGTTTAGGGTTTAGGGTTTAGGGTTTAGGGTTTAGGGTTTAGGGTTTAGGGTTTAGGGTTTAGGGTTTAGGGACGCTGCCGTGACCTGCCTGCTTCTCTCATGCTCATGTGGGACGTCGGGGCCCGCGCCACTGCAGCTGCAAGCTCCGTCTCCCCACACGCCGCGGTGGCGAAGCGTGCGCGGAGCCGCAGCATCTCACAGGCAAGGGGGAGGGTTCAGTTGGTGAATCAACAACTACATACATGTATGTACACAAATATATTTACATGTGTGCACAACATTCTGTGCAAAATATATCTGTGACATGTTCTGTCAGATAATGTTTATGTGCAGCGTAAAGTTTCCTTGGTATGTGTACATATATGTATGTTTGTGTACATACATGCATATGTTTCTGTATATGTAGACATATAGTCAATATACATACATGCATGCATACACATACATATGTATACACATCGGTACTTATGTTTGCAATTCGCATCTGCGTGGTGCTGACATGGCCATCGCAAGCTGAGCTGGGATCCGCGCGTCTGTCGTACCTGAGTGCATCACCAGCTGAAAAGAAATCGAGAATTGATCAAAATGGTAGTCAAACTTGTCAAACTGCATGTAAACAGTTCTGCAAGCAGAAACCGTGCACCCTCCTAAACTCTAAAGTCCCCAACCGGCCCTAAACCCCCCAAACTCCCCAGACTCCCTAGACCCCCTAAACTCCCCAAACTCCCTAAACTCCCGAAACTCCCTACAGTTCCGAAACTCCCGAAACCTTAGACTCCCTAAACTCCCGTGACTCCCTAGACTCCATAAACTCCCCAAACTCTGTCTAAACTCCCTAAACCCTAAACCCTAAACCCTGAACCACTGACTCCCTGGCTGAGTCTCGCGGCCTTCACTTGCCGCGCGTCTCGTGGGCAGCACGGGCTCCAAGATGTGCACCCGTGGCCTCAGCCCATGGGATGTCTGCAAGGGTTTAGGGTTTAGGGTTTAGGGTTTAGGGTTTAGGGTTTAGGGTTTAGGGTTTAGGGTTTAGGGTTTAGGGTTTAGGGCCCCTGAGGATGTACCTCCAAGAGGTTCCCTAGAGGATCTTTAAACGGGGCGGGGGAGGGCTTTAGGGTTTAGGATTTTACGATTTTCGGGTCTTAGGGTTCTTGGGTTTTAAAGGGTCTTATGGTCATAGGGTGCGAGGGTTTTAGGGTCTTAGGGTTTTTGTGATTCGGGTCTTGTAGACAGACTTAGGATTTTCGGGTTTCGGGTCTTCGGGCTTTAGGGTTTGGATTTCGGGATTTCGGGTCTTAGGGTTTCAGGGTTTTAGGGTCTTAGGGTTTTTGGGGCTTTGGGGCTTTCGGGTTTAAAAGCGCAGTGTGTGAAGTCTCTGCCCGGCACGACAGTCAGCTAGCGACTGTCCGCTGGGCAACCTTCTAGCATGCCAGTTTTTGTTTGGGATGCCGGTTTGTTCAGAACTAAACCCGAAACCCTAAACCCGAATCCCGAAACCTCCCTTCAGCCGGCGCACCCGCCATCGCTGCGAACGTGAACGAAGACCGTGGCCGCAGGCCGTGGATCCGTGTCCAACTGCAAAGTGAACACATGGGTTTGGGGTTTAGGGTTTAGGGTTTGGGGCCTAGGGTGTATTTATCTGCCGAGGCCGGAGGCCTGAGGCGTTTAGATCCAGGTCCGGGGAACCTTCCCCCCCCAACCCTGCCTTGTGCCCTTTCGGCCATTAGCCTCAAGCCCTTCCCTAAACCCTAAACCCTAAATCCTAATTAAACCCTAAACCCCAAACCCTAAACCCTACGCCTCTTGCCGAGGCGGCCTCGCGTTGCGGTTAAAGTATCTTCTGTTGCCTTCATTGACTGAATATATAAGCTTATGTTCTAGTATGTTATCTTATATTTGGTTACATTAAATTGTACTAGGCTGCTGTACTAAATTGTATTCAAGTATGCGAAATATGTTTCAATCTATACTGTTGTCTTATATTCTGCTACATTGTAAGGTTTATTCTGTATCGTGCAATGTTAATATTTGCTTGTATATAAGTTGCTGTATTAATAAACGGCACATCGCAACATCACGTGTTTGAAGCGCTGCTGGTAGACTCCAACGACGGTCAATGAATACTATACTGAGTTACTGGCACTAGCCTTAACCCCAAATCCAAAACCCAAAACCCCAAACCCTAAACCCTAAACCCTAAACCCTGAACCCTGAACACTGAACCCTAAACCCTCAACCCTGAACCCTGAACCCTGAACCCTAAACCCTGAACCCTCAACCCTAAAACCTCAACCCTAAACCCTGAACCCTAATGTTGACCTAGTAATAATAAACCCCCCCCCCCCCTCAATCAAACCCCCCCAAATAGAGTGAGGCCCCTTTGAATAAGGATTCCTTTCCTTAGAGAGAATTAGAGAGGATCAGAGAGAATCACTCAGGATTCCTTTCCTTAGAGAGAATTAGAGAGGATCAGAGGGGCAAGGGGCTCAGAGAACCTTTTCAGCATGAGCACACTGAGGCCACTTTAATTGCAGGGGCCCCTGGATTTAGAGACCAGGCCATACCCTTATCCCTTATCCCTAAACCCTAACCCTAACCCTAAACCCTAAACCCTTAACCCTAATTCAACAAGACTCCACAAAACCCAAGTAAACCTAAGGCATGAACCCTAAACCTAATGAAACCATGAAGCGATCATTTGAAGATTTTTTCAGGCAGGAATTTCCAGGAACTTTATTCCGAGGGGCAGATCTTTCAGGATTATTTCCAGGGCACCGGCCTCCAAAGCTACCCCCCTTTGCCAGAAAGATTTTGTCAATCCTTTAGTAAGGCTCTCAAATAAAAATCAGCAAGTTTCTGAGGAGTTTGGTTTTCAGGTTTCTCTTCGAAATCTGATCGCTTCATGTTTTCCTAATTAAATCCTAAACCATAAAACCCTTAACCCTAATTAAACCCCAGACCCAAAACCCTAAACCCTGAGACTTTAATTGCAGGGGCCCTTTGAATAAAGAGTCTGCTTCAACTACATTGCTTTGCAGTTTCACTTTGACAAGACTTTCAGCTTGCCGGCCAGAGAGAAAGGCAAGGTTCAGCTTCTCAGTCGAGAGACTTTATTCAGCAAAGTTTGATGCAATCTTGAGCAAGGCAAGATTCTCCCTCTCTTTTCTCTCCATGCCCCGACTGGCGTACTTTATTTCCAGGGCTTTATTATTGCGGCCGGGACACCTGGCGTACTTTAATATTAGGGGCTGTAGTAATACTAGGTTAACATTAAACCCTCAACCCTGAACCCTGAACCCTGAACCCTAAACCCTGAACCCTCAACCCTCAACCCTCAACCCTCAACCCTAAACCCTGAACCCTGAACCCTAAACCCTGAACCCTAGACCCTGAACCCTAGACCCTCAACCCTGAACCCTGAACCCTCAACCCTGAACCCTGAACCCTGAACGCTCAACCCTCAACCCTGAACCCTGAACCCTAAACCCTCAAACCTGAACCCTGAACCCTCAACCCTGAACCCTGAATCCTCAACCCTAAACCCTCAACCCTCAACCCTAAACCCTAAACCTCGAACCCTAAACCCTCAACCCCGAAGCCGACCTCCGCCTCGATCTGGTAGACCCCTGGTATCAGAGCTGGCAGCCCGAGCCTCGGCGGGGACGTTGGAGGTCACCCTCTGTTGCACTTCCGGTTCCCAAGTGAGGGTTTAGGGTTTAGGGTTTGGGGTTTAGGGTTTAGGGTTTAAGGGCTTAAGAAACCCAAAAATCGGGATCATATACCCTATACTACTATAGCCAGCAATGGGTTATGGACCATCAAGCCTTTTGGGGTTCATGGAGTCTCCAGGAATGTGGCCCCATCGACACGAGGAACCTGGTATTCCTCAAAAAGGCCTACTGGCTCTTAGTAGGGTTTAGGGTTTCGGGTTTAGTGATTTTTAGGGGTCAGGTTGAAGGAGTTTAACACCTCATATCCCCCTAGATCATCCTCTTAAAGGATTCCCTACAAGGTCCCAAAGTTCCGTCATTCCCTAGAAAGACCCAGCAAGTAACGATCTTGAACCCCAAAACCCTACTTCCCCACTCTGTTTGAACCCTAAACCTAAACCTTAAACCCTGATTCAGCCCTTAACAAGAAAGCACAAGCCCTAAACACCCAAAACCATCAAGCGCCCATAACTTGAAATCATTCACAAGCTACAGAAGAAACTCCTCGAAACTTTGCTCGAAAATCCGTGAAACTCCTCCAAGCTCCTCGAAGCTTTCCCCGGACCTGAACCCTTACTAATCGAAACCAACCCTAAACCCCTACACCCCTAAACCCTAAACCCTGAACCCCTGAACCCCTGAACCCCTGAACCCCTGAACCCCTAAACCCTAAACCCCTAAACCCTAGACCCCAGAATCGTTGGGACTCGTACAGCGGGCCACGAGTCTGACCTCGGCTTCGCGAGGCCCTGACCCCGACCCCTGCGACTCGACTGCAGAGTTCCCCTCCAGGTAGGGGGAGGGGGGGCACGGGGGCGGGGTGGCTACTTTCGGCTGGTTGAATACCAGATGTGGGATCTAGATCGCAGCACAAATCCATATAAGTATATGCATATACATAGGTAAATGCAGATATTGTATGTATACACGTCGTTTTTTTCTGTCGGGCACACACATACACATGCAAAATCTGAATAAGTTTGGACAGCTAGCGGGTGCTCGTGCTTGTTCTTCGTTCTTTTTTAATTCATGGATGGAACTGTACTCTGTACAGAGTCTGTGGTGTTGGCCTGAGACAGGGGAGTGTGACTCCACTCTTGCTGCCAACTGAGAAACGTGCAAGCGCTTGCACATCAATCGAACACGATCACAGACGCACATGCAAAGCCTGCGTACGGGCCTACGTACGAGCATGCATTCATCCACACCTACGTATACATTACCTACATACACATATGCAATACAACTACTATAAGGGCCTTAAGAATTAGAACAAGGTTTTGGAGATAGTGACATGTATTTATATAGGGACCTTATAATTAAAGCACCCAATGCAGAAAGCGGCTCGCTGCCGCGGCGCAGGCGGCAGCGTCCTGGCTCTGCACGGAGACCTGGACTTGACATATGGCATGATTCGTGAGGGGGTTGAGGGCTTAGGGCCTTTAGGGTTTAGGGCCTTTAGGGTTTCGGGGTCCCTAAACCAGCGGCCAAAGCTACTTTAAGCGCCTGCAAGCGAAAGTTGGGGAGCGGGATGTGAGAGGTAGAGTGTAGAAAGCTTGCAACTTCGTTGTGGTGTCACTCGGATGCAGTGGAGGAGAGGTGTCATGCCTTTGTCTCACGTCGATGGGAAATCCTCGAGCGAGAACCTAGAGAGGGACCACAAATAGATCAGCCTCTGGTTTAGGGTTTAGGGTTTAGGGTTTAGGGTTTAGGGTTTAGGGTTTAGGGTTTAGGGTTTAGGGTTTAGGGTTTAGGGCACAGGGCACGAGGCTGCTGGTGTCTCTCTCACATTACCGGCAGGGATCTGTTGAGGCCGAGGCAACATCCATGAGCACGCCTCGGGGGGGGGGGGGGGGGCATCTTGAAAGGCTGTTGTGTATGCTGCAGAAGACAGTATAAGATATATATATATATATATATACACATAAGAGTATAAAATATGAGTATGCATATACAGACGAATGCAAATATAAGTATAAATGCATAAATATATATATATATATACATACATACACATAGCAATTGCCCATGGAGCTCGTTGCAGCGAGGCCACAGCGCCACGTGATGTAAGGACTTCCCTCGACTCCACCTTGCGGGGGCCAAGAGAAAGAGCCGAGTTTTTGTTTTTGCACTGTCTCACCAGGGCCGACGGCTACAACCCTAGGGTTTAGGGTTTAGGGTTTAGGGTTACCAGGGCCGACGGCTACATTACATGGTCTGGGGACCCCCTATATACCCCTCATATACCCTAGAGGACCCAAGGGCCCATGCTTCAGAACCCTTTGAAGAAGGTAAGGGATCATATTCATGGACCCATGTCACTACCCTTGGAGTCTTTTAAATTTTTGTGGCCACGAATGTCGGCTTCGCTGCAGCACCCTAAACGCTAAACCCCAAAAAACCTAAACCCTAATCCTCCTTAGACCCTTATCTGGGGGTTTACGAAAATAGGACCCCCCAACTTTGATCGTTATAATCAGGCCCCGAATAAGGTACCACTGATTTCGGAAACCCTAAACCCTAAACCTAAACCCTAAACCCCAAACCCTAAACCCTGCGAACCAGCTTCCATGTGACTTGGCGCCCTGCTCACCGTGGCAGTGACTGAGAAGGGGCACTGCTCGGCGATCTCCGAGGGAGCCTGTTTGGGGTTTAGGGTTTAGGGTTTAGGGTTTGGGGTTTAGGGTTTAGGGTTTAGGGTTTAAGGTTTAGGGTTTAGGGGTGCCTGGCACCAGCTCAGACCTACGACGCAGCACATGTCGCAGGAATGCAATGAAGTCATGATCACACCAAATATGGGGGGGTCTACGAAAATAGGGGACCCCTAAAGTACAACCCCAATAGTAGGACCCACTTATAAGGAGGACCCCAATAAGGTATTCCGAATATCGTAAACCCCCAAACTTGATTCATAGCCACAGCCGCTTGCAATGACCCTAAACCCTAAACCCTAAACCCTAAACCCTAAACCCTAAACCCTAAACCCTAAACCCCAAGCCCTAAACCCTAAACCCTAGACCCACGGCGCCTGCAGGCTTATCGCCACCGGCTCGGGCCTTCGGCGTGGGCACAGGAGAAAGAGTGCCGAAGTTTGGGTCATGGCTTACCTGGGGCTCTATTTACCTACAGTTTAGCCTTAATTAGCAGGTACTTGTGACCCATAACACTGTAGGTAAAGAGGGCCCCAGGTACGGTTTATCGGGTTCGCCTTTGTAGGAATCCAGGGTTGCGTGCAACAGAAGCAAGCAAGGAGCCCTCGAACGCAGTCACTACCAGAGCTGTCCCTGAACCCTAAACCCTAAACCCTAGCCCTAAACCCGAAACCCTAAACCCTAGCCCTAAACCCGAAACCCTATAAACTCCAACCCCTAACCCTGAACCCTAAACCCCTACACAGAGGCCTCACCACCACCAGGAATGGCATGAAGACGGGCTTGGCGATGTCACTGAGGTGTGCAGCGCCTATAAAGTGCAGGCTCAGTCAGTCCAAGAATTCATCCTGAGGCGCCCGCTTAGGATTTAGGGTTTGGGGTTTGGGGTTTAAGGTTTAGGGTTTAGGGTTTGGGATTTGGAGTTTAGGGTATGCTCTTCTTGGGTCATGCTATGGGCTCAGAGGCCTTCATGCCCACAACTCGGTTACGTCGCATAGACCACTCGAAAAGCAATGCCTCTGAAGCCTGGACTCCTATTCCCGCAAGCTGCTTTCAGCTGCCGAAGCAGTGTATGCAATAGGCGAAAGGATGAGGCGGCCGGAAAAAGCAGAAACCCTAAACCCTAAACCCTACACCCCAAATCCCTAAACATAACCCAACAAGCTTAGGGCCGGCGGCTAAGTGTCAAACCCTTGCAGTACCACGTCCCAGAAATTTGGGCGTGAAACCCAAACCCTAAACCCTAAACCCTAAACCACCCAGGAGGTGACAGCAGACTTATGCACCCTAAACCCTAAACCCAAAACCCTAAACCCTGAACCGGAATTTTCAGTTCTGGGCATGCACAGGCTAAGGCCCCGTCGTGCAACCAGCGTCCAATTCGTTCCCGGCAAGTCCAGAGATCCCAAGTAGCCCTGCACTCGCCCGTTTAGGGTTTAGGGTTTAGGGGTTAGGGTTTAGGGTTTAGGGTTTAGAGTTTAGGGCTTAGGGCTTAGGGCTTAGGGTGCGCAAAGACACAAGCACACTTACGCACGGGCGGGGAAATTGGAAGTAAACCTGTGCGAAGCTGTCGCGCTTGCCAGCACCATGCCATGGCTGGCAGTGCTCGCCAATTTTTTGCACATGTCTTGTGATGTCTCTGCACTGGGCTGGATCTATTGAACTACAAATGCAATGTTATGCTGCTCTCTCTCTCTCTCTCGCTATATATGTATATACACACAGAAATCTATCTATGTCATTATGCGCGTGCAAAATTAAATTAAGTATATATATATATATATATTGTATACATACACACCTATATATACACACTGTACATATGCCTTATAGTTTAGTTCTCTCGCGCCTCGAGTGTGGCAGTTTTGGCGTCCAGCGCCGGCACGAGCGAGGAGGGCAACTCGAGGAGGGAGTCCCAAACCTTCGCTAGGGTTTAGGGTTTAGGGTTTAGGGTTTAGGGTTGAGGGTTGAGGGTTGAGGGTTGAGGGTTTAGGGCTTAGGGTTTAGGGTTTAAGGCGACCAAACCCTTGCTGCCTAAAGGGGCTCTCAGGACATTTCTCCTGAGGGTGCTTCAGCCTGAGAACACATGATACTTAGTTGCTGAGCTCATGATTAAAGGGTTTTGGGTTTAGGGTTGAGGGTTTAGGGCTTAGTTGCTGAGTTCATAAGCCCCCGAAAAAGTGTACGCTTTCAGTTCTAGAGGGGATGATAGTATCCCAAAATGTCTAAAGTGTGCTCACTCAGCTACTAAGGGTATATGTTCCCTAAACCCTAGACCCCAAACCCTGAACCTTAAACCCTAAACCCTGAACCCTAAAGCGCACACTCTGGACGTAAGCTCATTTAAGCATCCGTGGCCCGAGCCACTCCTGGATGTAGTGTACACTGAGAGTGAATCTTTGCGGCATCAGATGGCACCCTAAACCCTAAACCCTAAACCCTGAACCCGAAACCCGAAACCCGAAACCCGAAACCCGAAACCCGAAACCCTAAACCCTAAACCCTAACCCTAAAACCTCATCCCGATGAACAAAGTGAGAAGAGCAAAGATCGAGCCTGCTCCAGGTTGTCCAGATTGCCCAAACCTGGCACTGTGGGGTACATAGGGTTTAGGGTTTCGGGTTTAGGGTGCCCTTTTTTGGTTCCTAAAATAAAGACTATAGTATTTGGGGGGGGGGGGGGTTGGGGTTCTCCTATTTTGGGAAATGCACAGAGTAGCTTCGAGGTAGACAGGTCAAGATGGCGCATCGCCGCGCGATGCGTGCAATGCGCGCACCGTGACGCCACTCCACCGCAATTGGCCCCAACGCCCCACACCTGGGCAAAGAAATGACGGGCAGAACTCTGAGACTCTGTGATTGGAGATCTGCCATCGATGAGATTTGCATACACCACCCAGCTCAAGCCCCCCACGTGCTGCCGGCTCCAACAGAAGCCACCTTGTGAGGGTTTCCGAGGACTACAGACGGGTAGCGTTTTTGAGGGGTTTCCTTAGAAGGGCACCCTAAACCCTAAACCCTAAACCCGAAAGGGGATGCCCACTATTTCGGACTGCGAGACTTCGGGCGTGTGGAAGTTTTGCTCTTTCACAGCGGGGCCAGGACTTGGGCCAGCTGAACCATGCCTGAACCCTACTTGAAGGTTCATGGGACTTACTTGCCAATTATAACTGTACTTATAACCCTACTTAAAATACCCCTAAAGGGCCTTATAGGGGTTATCCCAATTAGAAGAAGGGTTATAAGTACAGTTATAAGTGGTTAGGAAGTACCATGAACCTTCAAGTAAAGCCACGTTGAACCCGCGAGTTAGGTTTCGGGGCCTTATCAGTGGCTACGGACTAAATACGGGTTTGGGAAAATGAAAATACCGAAAATATGTTCCAACCTACCCCTGTGAAGCCTGAACCCAAGACCCCGAAAGCCCCGGCCCAAGCCGACATCGGCCGGCAAGCAGTGACCCGTCGTCGTTTCTGTTTAGCACGGAGCCTTACATGAATAGGGAACCCCCCCCCCCCCGGGAAAGGGGACCACAAAGAGTAAGAAATCCTCAACCCTGAACCCCCATACTGGCATGTCACATAATCAGGGACACCACTTTTTGGCCCCAAAATTCCCCGAATCCTCTCAAAGGACTCCCCAGTATTTTCGGCAACTTTCACATGACCCTGCGCTGGTGTCGCATCTTACCCGAGGCTTTCACGGGCAACGCGGGGCTGACTGAGAGCTCCAACCTCACGAGGCAACTTGAGGTCAAAAGAGGTTGATAGGGTTTAGGTTTAGGGCTTCAGGCTTCGGGAATAAGATTTGGCCTGGTCCCATTCCCATTCCACGTGATACTAGCGAAGCATTGCAAGGTCAGTATGTGAGGCAGTGGTGTCAAACACGTTCGCTTTTCGTCATCATCAAGACCTCAGTGCTGCACCGGATGCTTTGGCCCTGATCAACGAAGACTTCCCTGCTTGTGAGGGCTACGACCTGAGCCATACATGTCGCGTTAGGGTTTCGGGTTGTGGCCGGCGTCTGACACACTGCAGGCTCGGGCCACAGGGATACGCTCCACGGTGAAGCTGACGGTGTGTGCCGCCTTGACACTCCGAATATAGCATAATATGTATATATATATATATATATTTGTATACATACATATTGCAAATGACCTCGTTTAGGTGGCATATTCTTATGTGCTTAAGCACACTACACATATTGTGACATGTAGTGGATGTAGCATATGCTGTGTATGTGATACATGTAAACCTGCAGAACACGCATGTGTGCGTGATTACAGTATCAGGTCATGCGGAGTTGCGTGTCATGACATCTGCGAGGCGCCTCTGACCACTGGCCCATGGCGTTCTCTAGCTTCAGGTAAACCTTGGGGTCTAGGGTTTAGGGTTTAGGGTTTAGGGTTTAGGGTTTAGGGTTTAGGGTTTAGGGGAAGAGGTCTGACGAGATGTCGGACGGCCGCAAGGTTTGGGGTTTAGGGTTGAGGGTTACCCTAAACCCTAAACTCTAAACCCCAAGAAGGAGCCGGAAGGATGAGCCGGAAGGATGAGGAAAGGGTCAGAATGGCAAATGAGATCCGTGGATTTCATGCCTCCCCTGCTGCGTGGGGCATTCCATTATGCACACATCCTGGGGACGTTCCCCCTTATACTAGGGTTTAGGGTTTAGGGTCAGGGTTTAGGGTTTAGGGTTTAGGGTTTAGGGTTTAGGGTTTAGGGTTTAGGGTTTAGGGTTTAGGGTTTAGGGTTTAGGGTTTAGGGTTTAGGGTTTAGGGTTTAGGGTTTAGGGTTTACAGTCTACAGTTTACAGTTGTAGTGGGGATTCTAGCAGGGGGGTACTATAATCCCGACTAAGGACTGCTAGTATAAGGGGTGGTGAAGAAGTCTCAGGACTTCGGGGGAGCCCTTGAATATGCAACTACGTGCCGCTGCTTCTATGCTCCATTGTGACACAAAGAAGGGTTTAGGGTTTAGGGTTTAGGGTTTAGGGTTTAGGTTTCTTGCCCAACAAAAACCACTTCGAGCAGCTAAAGGCTGGTGTGGCCCACTACAGTCGAAAATTCGACATCTACATCTTTCCGTATCTTTCGGTGTCTTTCCATCCTCCTGGATCTAGACAAAAGGCTGGGATGTTCACCGTTGTACTAAGAGTATAGTACCCCACTGCTAGCACAAGGCATGGACGACGACTGTGGCCAGGGAGATGGTGAGGGAGGAGGCGGTCTCCTCGAGGCTTGAGGGACTAAAGAAGGTTTAGGGTTTAGGGTTTAGGGTTTAGGGTTTAGGATTTAGGGTTTAGGGGTGGAGGGGCCCTCAGAAGGGACCTTAGGGGTTATTTGGGGGTGATTCACGGGCTACTTAGGCAGGTATGAGGTATGCAATAGGGGTTCAAAGGGGAATAAACCCTAAACCCTAAACCCTAAACCCTAAACCCTAAACCCTAAGGGTTCCTTGTAGGGGTCCTTCAATATGCCCCCTTAAAAGCCTGCACTTGGCAGCTTTATCTCCGGACACAATGCCTCAAGCTATTTTCCGAGAAATCCCGGAGACCAACCCAGAAAGAATGCCAGAGACAAACCCAGAAAGAATCCTAAACCCCACGCCTAAAATCCAAACCCTAATGTTGACTGGCCATTCCACATCTGTATCTATAGTTCATGATTTACATTTCTAGGCGAACTCCATTTGGATACTCCCCCGCCCTTCCCCAATACCAAGAACAACCCCGGAGGAAAAGGTCGAAGTGACCCCATTGCTTGAGTAGCCCTAAACCCTAAACCCAAAAACCCTAAAGCCTAAACCCTAAACCTTTGGATTGAAGTGCGGGCTTCCGGGCTCCGTATACAACAGGCCACGGTCAAGACTGCCGACCCCCTAGAGGACAGTCCCCTTAGAACCATAATTTAAAAAACATATTAACAACTCATATACATCCCCAGGGATTTATATAGACACAAATGAAACCCGTAAAACCATACTAAAAAAGGGTAAACAACTTGTATACATCCCCAGGGTTTTATATAAACACAAATTTAAAAGTCGATCCGAAGCACCCCATAACCCTCTACAAGAAAAGAGTTTGGCCCCCTTTCAGCCCCAAACCAAGCGAATCGATCAAGGCAGGTTCTTGAAGCGAAGTCAACATGAAACCACAAAAAAAGACACTCTAAGCCCCGCCCTCTGAACCCCATAAACCACAGAAGCCCTATAAAGACCCTAAGGATCCTAAACCCCAAACCCTAAAACCCTAAACCCAAAACCCAAAAACCCTGCTCTGCCTCAGGGATCGTGGTCCGCAGTCCGCACGGAGCTGCTCCCACGTCCAGGCCCGCCGTGGCGAGGCCGGGCCTGGTTAGAGGGCTCAGGAGGGTTTAGGGTTTGGGGTTTAGGGTTTAGGGTTTGGGGTTTAGGGTTTGGGGTTTAGGGTTTGGGGTTTTGGGGCTTTTGGGGATTAGGGTTTGGGGCTTCGGGTTTAATGTTCCGGGTTTGGGGTTTCGGGTCCTGCATGTAGTATTCGCCTCGGCTTCCTGCCGAGAAGCGTCTGGAACAAGCAGACCCGGATCGGGCCTCCTTCCCCCTAACCCAACCCTTCCCCCCATGCCAAATTTTTTGACGCAACCCCCCCCCCCCCGCCCTGTGGGACCCCCCCCAATCCCTTGGAGGAGCTGCAAACCGATGCCGCGGAGGGTCCCGCTTGTCGGTGGCTCCTAACAGGGGAGTGCCCCCAAAACCCCCCCAACCCCCCCCCCCCAAACCCCCCCCCCACCCCCCCCCCACCCCCCCCCCCCCACCCCCCCCCCCCAACCCCCCCCGCCCCCCTCCCACCCCCCCCCCGCACCCCCCCCCCCACCCCCCCCCCCACCCCCCCCCCCCCCGCCCCCCACACCCCCCCCTCACCCCCCTCGACCCCACCCGCTCTGCCCTTCCTCCCTTTTTTTGCGAAACCCTCTTTCCTCCTTTCCTGTCCTGGGGCCGGCCCGGCTGCCGAGGCGGCGCGCGCAAGCGTTTACAATTCAGGGCCTTAGGGCTCAGGCACAGAGGACATCGTTTGTTGTGTCTCCCCCAAATCTTGGGCTTGGAGACTTTGGGTGGGGCAGGTCATGCGCTGCTCTTCGCATGGTCCCCCAAGGAAGTCCCCGGGACTCCGGCGTCAGGGTATGGCAGATAGGGAAGAACGCACGCACCTGCCGAGAAAGTCTGACGTCCACCGGGATGTTTTGAGGTTTGTCAGAGGGCAGAACCGGACGATCATTGCAAGAATCACGAGAACCTAGAATACAGAATAATGGAGTCTGTAGAAGAGAGGCCATAGAACATAGAATATACCTTGGGGACCAAATGAACCCAAAAAATGGAGCCATATACCCTATACTACTAAACCCCGAATGCAGGTATATGAACCCTAAACCCTTTTAGGGTTCATGTGGTCCCCATGGTAGGACGTAGAATGCAACATAGAGTCGCATCATGAACCCTAAACCCTAAACCCTAAACCCTAAACCCTAAACCCTAAACCCTAAACCCTAAACCCTAAACCCTAAACCCTAAACCCTAACCCTAAACCCTAAACCCTAAACCCTGGGTTCAATCACGGCCCCCGGAGGCGCCGCTGCGCAGTGAGAAGGATCGCCAGTGCAGCGCCAGCTGGTGCTTTTCCATGGCCTCTCCGTGAGATTTGTTTAGGGTTTAGGGTTTAGGGTTTAGGGTTTAGGGTTTAGGGTTTAGGGTTTAGGGTTTAGGGTTTAGGGTTTTAGGGTTTAGGGTTTAGGGCTTCTTGTTCAGGAGCTTGGATGAGTTTACCAGCATAGGGTTCTATCATGTTGTGTACGAAAGCCTATGGTATCTTATCAATGGCTACAAGAACCCCGTGTTGAAACGGCCCTCCGAAGCAAAACTCGAGCCCTTGAGGATATCGACCCACGTGCCATGTCGCCAAGCTCAACCCTGGTCGGCAGCTTACGCATTGCAACGGGCAGATAGCAGCAGATCGATCCCAGGATGAAATGACGTAGCTATGTGCACTCACCAGTAGCACCATTCGACTCAACTAGACTGTGACTCAACCCTAAATACCTCCAATAAAAGTTTGACTCCCAGTATTGTGGTGTGCCTGCCCGCGTTGCCGGTGCTGGCGGTGGCATCCAAGACGACGTCCCCACAACCACCAGCCAGGTTGGGTCCACGCCTGGTGGCTACACAATGCCAGGTTCAGGGTTTAGGGTTTTGGGTTTAAGAGTTAGGGTTTTCGTTGTGGGTTTGAGGGTTTGGGGGCTTTAGGGGGATCTAGGGGGCTTCTGAGGCTAAAAGGACTTTGGGGTTTTAGGGGTTTCAGGCTTTAGGGCCTACTGGGCTTCGGGGTTTGAGGTGTTTAGGGTGTTGATGGGTTTGTGGCTGTTGTGTTTGGAGTTTAAGCCCACTGCTGGCGATGCCAGCTCACCACTCTGACAGAGCAATCAAGGCCTATCCTATGGCCATCTCACAATGTCGGGTGAACATGCGGGGTTTACTTGGAGGTTCATGGTACTTATTAACCAAATATAACTGTACTTATACCCCACTTACAATGCCCTAATATGATGACATGCACCGTTGTAAGTACCGCTATAATTGGCTAACAAGTACCATGAACCTTTGAGTAGGGTTTAGGCCTTGGGGTGCGGCCTGCTGATGGACTGGCTTAGTTGTCCAGTAAAATGCGGGAATCAAAGGTTAACCCTTGGGATTGTCAGGAAATTATACTACCCCGAAAATGTTAAAGGTTACCTTCTCTACTTCTAGGAGAAAGCGGAGTCAGTCTGTGCAAGGGTTTAGGCTTTAGGGTTTAGGGTTTAGCCCAAGGCCGAGGCAAGACGACCACGGGTGCTGTCCAGGCCGCAGGAGTTCCCAGGGCCTCGCAACGTCGGATTCTGAAACTGCCATGTCATAGCAATTCGGACTAGCTTAGGGTTTAGGGTTTAGGGTTTAGGGTTTGGGGTTTGGGGTTTGGGGTTTAGGGTTTAGGGTTTCGGGTTTAGGGTTTAGGGTATCCGGGAGCTTACGAGAATAAGGGCCCCTGTTCAATAAGGATCCCCCAGAACGTGCCCCCCATTGTCGGAAACCTCCTCAGCTCACAAGAGGAACTGAGCTGCTGAGTATGGTGCACACCGTGAAAAACTCTCCAAACCCTAAACCCTGAACCCTGAACCCTGAACCCGAAACCCGAAACCCTAAACCCTAAACCCTAAACCCTAAACCCTAAACCCTAAACCCTAAACCCTAAACCCTAAACCCTAAACCCTAAACCCTAAACCCTAAACCCTAAACCCTAAACCCTAAACCCTAAACCCTAAGCTGGGGGCACTGCCGGTCCAAGGTAGAGGCGCTGCGAAGGATATTCAAAGAGCCGTGCCACCTGCGGCGTGGCTGCCATCCCCCAGAGGTGTAGGGTTTAGGGTTTAGGGTTTAGGGTTAGGGTTTAGGGTTTAGGGTTTAGGGTTTAGGGTTTAGGGTTCTAGGGTTAGGGTCTAGGGTCTAGGGTCTAGGGTCTAGGGTCTAGGGTTAGGGTTTAGGGTTTAGGGTTTAGGGTTTAGGGTTTAGGGTTTAGGGTTTAGGGTTTAGGGTTTAGGGTTTAGGGTTTAGGGTTTAGGGTTTAGGGTTTAGGGTTTAGGGTTTAGGGTTTAGGGTTCACATCATGCCAACATTGGGGTTTAAGGTCTGTAAATTTTGCCTACTTTGGGCTATTTGGAGCCTTAGGGATCGTTCTTCAAAACAGCCGCAGCGGCGTTCAACTTTTAGAACCAACGTAGCCCTTTGCAACTCCCTCACCTTTTTTCAAGGGGGCGCCAGCGACTTGTGAACCCTAAACCCTAAACCCAAAACGATCACGAATCCGACGCATCCTGATCCTGCCCCTTGCTTTTGAGGGTTTTGCCTCTGATCCTGTGAGATGTGTGCAACGGAGCAAGTCAAGGAGGATGAAATCGGACCCTAAACCCTAAACCCTAAACCCTAAACCCTAAACCCTAAACCCTAAACCCTTTTCTTGTGCAGGGCTTAGGGTGACCACGCCCGACCTCGATTGCTGCGTCGATGCTGGCGTACTGACGAGCAGCATCCTTGGCATCGTTTGGCAAGTTCTCGGCTGTCTCGAATGCCGTCGCTACATAGACATCTGCTACCCTATGTCGATTTCAACAGGGATTCTAAGAGGGGGTACTAGAATCCCCATGAAGGACTGCGAGTATAAGGGGGAAGATCCCAATCTCTATCTTTTAAGCCGCAAGAGCCACCTAAACCCTAAACCCCTAAAACCCTGGGTTTAGGGTTTAGGGTTTAATTAGGGTTTAGGGAAACCCCTAAACCCCTAAACCCTGCACTCTCAGGCCCCAGCTAGCACCAGCACAGCCGTTGATTCCTACACGGGCGCGCAGTGGGCACTTGCAGCCACGTCTGCTGGGGTCCGGATACTACTTGGTCTCTGACGACCTGCACATCCTTGAACTATGTTGAGATATTGTTGATTATCCAAGTCCTAAACCCTAAACCCTAAATCCTAAAGCCTAAAGCCTAAAGCCTAAACCCTAGTCACTGGTGTCTGGCGTCTGGTGTCTGGTGCAATCACTGGTGCCGCCTCGGCAATACCCAAGGAAGCGCCGAAGCCAAGGCGGACAACAAGGTGTCGTGGAGAGCCTGGCCAACAGAATTTGGGGTTTAGGGTTTAGGGTTTCGGGTTTTGGGTTTTCGGGTTTGGCGTTCAGGGTTTCGGGTTTCGGGTTTAGGGCTTCGGATTTAGGGTTTAGGGTTTCGGGTTTAGGGTTTAGGGTTTCGGTTTTTTTGGGGTTCAGGGTTTAGGGTTCGGGGCAGCAGAATCATCTCATCACGCAAACAATTCTGGCCAATGACTTCGGCACGCCGATGCCGCGACACCTGCATACACCTGCCTTGCCAACCCTAAACCCCAAACCCCAAACCCTAAAACCCTAAACCCTAAACCCTAAACCCCAAACCCTAAACCCCAAACCCCAAACCCTAAACCCTAAAACCCTAAAACCCTAAACCCCAAACCCCAAACCCTAAACCCTAAACCCCAAACCCCAAACCCTAAACCCCAAACCCTAAGCCCCAAACCCTAAGCCCCAAACCCTAAGCCCCAAACCCTAGACCCTAAACCCTAAACGGCACAGGCTGGACAGCTGCAGCCTTGCAGGCAGACTGCGGCATCACCAAACTCGGCCACCTTGAAAGTCTCTAGGGACATTGCTCTGGGGTTTAGGGTTTGGGGTTTAGGATTTGGGGTTTAGGATTTGGGGTTTAGGATTTGGGGTTTAGGATTTGGGGTTTAGGATTTGGGGTTTAGGGTTTGGGGTTTAGGATTTGGGGTTTAAAGTCTCGGGTTACATCCCGTCACCCTAATATTGAAACATCCTGCCCCCCTTATACAAAATACTCCACATGTACGAAGATGAAAGCATTGAGTATTTTGGGGGAGGGTTGTGAGGGCTTTTTGGTTGACAGGATTTAGGGTTTATAGGGCCCTGAAGCCCCCAAACTATCCCAAACTCTCACCCCTACCTCTCCCCCCTAAGCCCCAAAAGCCCCGAAAGTATCTGATCTCGAACTGTGCAGTATGACTTCCCCGGGCTTTGAAGATCTGCGGATATATCTATATATATATATATATGTATACATATATATATATACATATCTCTGTCTGAAAATAGAATCATGATACCAACAATTAAGAACATAATGTTCCGTTTGCAAGCTTTGAGGTTGTGTTGCCCGAGGGCCCTAGCCAACTGAATAGGTGAACTGCGGGCGGCCGCAAGGCTCCCTGGACCCAGCTTCCGTGACTGATGCAGGCCAGCCACAAAACGAAGTGTCGCAGGGTGGTCCCAAACCAAGGGTTTAGGGTTTAGGGTTTAGGGTTTGGGGTTTAGGGTTTAGGGTTTAGGGTTTAGGGGTTGAGGGTTGAGCATTCCTTCTCCAAAGATCGTGAGAAATCGCCGTCCGAGATCCCAGTGGCTCAGCTGAGGCTTCCGCCGTTGCCGGTGCGAAGAGGCTTTCGCACGGTAGCTCCGTGCCATGCGCGGTTCCTTAGGGTTTAGGTTTTAGGGTTTAGGGTTTAGGGTTGGATGCCTCTGGTGGTAACTTGCGTGTCGTTGTGATGCGTTTTTCCATTCACTTGCTGGCGGGGCAGCTCGTCAACCTATACACCTCAACAACACTGAACCCTGAAACCTCCAAGCCCCAACCCCTAAACCCTAAGAACCTCCAAAAACCGAAAAACCCTAAAGACCCCCAAAAACCCCTACAAACCCTAAAACCCCCGCCAAAAAAACCCTAAACCCGCTAAGACCCCCCTAAAAACCGCAAAACCCCGAAGAACTCCCTAAAAACCCTAAAGCCCTTAAGAACCTCCCAGAAAACCCTAGAACCCCCAAGAACCCCCCCCCCCCCCCTCAAAAAAAAACCTACAACACCGAAAAAAAAACCCAGAAGAGGCCCCTGCCATTCAAGGGCGCATCGAAGACGAGGATCAGCTGCCGACCTGGCGGGTCAGGGCCCTAAACTTCCCTAAACCCTAAACCCTAAACCCTAAACCCTAAACCCTAAACCCTAAACCCTAAACCCTAAACCCTAAACCCTAAACCCTAAACCCTAAACCCTAAACCCTAAACCCTAACCCTAAACCCTAAACCCTAAACCCTAAACCCTAAACCCTAAACCCTAAACAGAGGCGGGAAGTCTCCACACCACATGTGCCATGAGGCATATGTGAGTTATAGGGGCTCCGAAGGGCCCACTGTTATATAACCCTTTACGGGTTTAGGGTTTAGGGCTCCATGGGCCCTTAATTTGGGTCCCCTGTCATACAAGCCGGATTGGGCACCCGAAAAGGAACCCCAAGTCCTGGTGGCCTTGATCAACCAGGTCCGCCAGGACTGCCTCCCGACCGCGCGACAAGTCCGGAGACTATCTGAAGGCTTCCGAAGGGTTTAGGGTTTAGGGTTTAGTTTAGGGTTTAGGGTATAGGGCGAAACTGTCGTATCGCCCTGAAAAAGCTTCTGCAAACAGATTCCTAAATAAGACCCTCTTCAATCCAACAAGTAGCAAAGGACAAATCTTGACAACTTCCTCCCAAGGTCCCACCCAGGAAGGAGGAGGCCCTAGAGACGCAAGATCCAAGGGGGCTATATAAGGTGTATATATGTATATGTATATATATATATATATATGTATGGGTTATATAGGGGAATAAGATTAAGGGTCCCTTCTAGGGGTTCCTCCTTTTACCCCTTAAGGCTAAAGACGTCAGATCCAGGAGGCCTTGGGCCGGGCCGCGACGTGCGTGCAGCCTGACATCGCCGCGGCCACGAAACCCATCCATTCCGCTCAGGTCTGGACCAAAAGCACTGTCTGGAAGTGACTGGTCACACCACCCATCATAAACCCTAACCCTAAACCCTAAACCCTAAACCCTACACCCTAAACCCTGAACCCTAAACCCTAAACTGCCTAGATCACCTCCTGCTCAGAACCTTTCCCTGGTGGCTCTCAAGGCGCTGGGTGGCCCCGCGATCTCCGCCGGTGAAGCCGCCGCAGGAAGCCTTAAGCGTGCAGATTTCTGTCATAGGCCCCCTTTCCACATTTCCCAACAAGAATCCTAGAAGCCCAAAAAACGCGAAAACTCCCCAAAACCCCCTAAAAATCCCCCAAAAGACTTGAACGGCCTAATCCCTAAACGCCCTAAACCCGAAACCCGAAACCCTAAACCCTAACCCCTGGAACCTGGATGGTCCTCAGCCGCGCGCCAGCAAAGTCGGTGGGTGCAACGCCAGGCCCACAGGGCATGCGTCCAGCACGTCGGCCCTGAGGCAGTTTAATGTTTGGGGTTTAGGGTTTAGGATTTAGGGCGGTTCAGGGTTTAGGGCGATTTAGGGATGTTTGGGTCTAGGGATGTTTGGGGTTTGGGGTTTGGGGTTTAGGCTGCAGGATTTGAATTGTAGAGTTTAGGGAGGCCTGGGGCCTGCCAGGGCCCTAACTGTCAACAGCTCCTGAACTCTCGTCGTGGCGGCACACTGAACTACAGAGACCAACAACCCCACATTTGCACACCAGGATCCAAGACTAGGATGACCCGTACAACCCTCTGAAAGAATGAAACCCAATAAGAACAATACAACATCTGCCAAGTGTCGTCTCAAAAAACACTCCTTGGGGGACACTTAGAAAGCCCACCAAGAATACAGAATCAATAGGGCCTGCGACAGGCAACGGCAGTCGAGTTCGAATTTGAAGCCGGAGCCTGTCAGATGGTTCAAGAAATGAAAGACCCTTTATAGTGGAATATAGTAAGGATTTTTGTATTTTTCCAATCACATTGGAAATTTACAACAAAAACATAATATCAATGACAATTATAATCTGGTGCAAGCGTACATTGGTGCACAAAGGGTGTACAAGCTGAAGCCGTACCAGCAACGCCACTTGTCATGGGTTCCCCCAAGGTTCCCCGCATAATCAAGGTCATTTAGGGAGAATTCAGCCTGAGTAAGGCAATTTAAGGGTGGAATCTAGGGGGCAGTACCCGCGCCAAACTCCTACGTCTGAGGGAGGCACCAAGCCACGCCTACTTTTGAGGGCAGCGCCAAAACTAGACAGAAAACGTCGTAAGGGGGCAGTATAGAAGGGGTAGTAGGGGAACCCATGAACTTGCCCTTTGGGGTCCAGCCATGTCACAGGGTCACAGGGCGTGCGCAGGGTTTAGGGTTTAGGGTTTAGGGCTTAGGGTTTAGGGTTCAGGGTTTAGGGTTTAGGGTTTAGGGCTTAGGGCTTAGGGTTTAGGGTTGAGGGTTTAGGGTTTAACCGTTGACGCAACGAATACCATGGCGTCCTCACATTCTCACACGTTCTGGACCCGTCACTGCAAAAACGCTCAAGAACTGCCTGGATACATGCTGGCGGGACTCCCTGTGGATGTGGCTCGGGGCCGCAACCTCAGTGTGTTCCCAAACAGCTGGGTAAGAACTATACAATATTGTACGCGTGACAAGAAAGGTCACGTGCTAAGGGTCCGGCCCAGTGGGCGGCACCTAGAGCGAGTCATGTCCCGTGAATTTCTGTCAGAACTGCCACGGTTTGCATGCGCTGCCAAAGCAACAGGGATTGTTGAAGCCACTTCACCGGTACCACATCAGCTAAGATGTGGCCATGTCTCATCGCAAGTCATGTTCATTCGGCTCTGGAGAAATGCTCACGCGAGCTTGAGTGCTTCCGGTGTCCCCTAAACCCTAAACCCTAAACCCTAAACCCGAAACCCGAAACCCGAAATCCGAAACCCGAAACCCTAAACCCAATCGCAACCCGTCATCTAGGGCCCGGTCGTGGAAGGCATGTCCTTCCCTTGTCCATCACAGACAAAGCCGGATTCCACCTCACAAGCACGGCCAGCTCTGGGCTTAGTTGGTTAGGGTTCAGGGTTTAGAGTGCTAAGCATTCAGGGTTTAGGGTTTGGGGTTTAGGGTTTAAGACGGTTTAGGGTTTCTGCGGCCTGCAAGCACATTTAATGCCTTGGCCCTTCGCTTGGACATGTCTAAGCTTCCCTGGACGTTCCGAACAGAAAGCAATGACTCCAGGAACATAACACCAAGCTTTGTACTCTGGAAAGCATTTTGCCCATGCTTCGAGGCAAGCCCACCAACAAAGCATGCAACCCGCACTGACAAACATCTGGCCCTCAAAGCCCTACAAACGACCTGTAAAACCTTGTTAACAAACCCTGCAATGCGCCTTGCAAGAAGCATCGCATCCGTCCAGACCTGCTAGGCCACCATCATCGCACTGCTCCTGTCAAAGACAGGACGTAAAGGTACTGCCCCTGGCCAGCGTCACTGAAAGCAAGAACGACAGGTCGACAGAGACAGGCTTCTAAAGAAGAGTGCATACTCCCCTGTGGCGCCTCACCCACGACCAAGCCATCACCGCAAGCGAACTCACAGTCCCACTTCATAGACACGGCCTCGTGAACTCCACGACATTTCCTACCGGGCGATGTGCCTTGTCCCGATAACCCCCGATGCCTGGAACCCATAGCCTAAAAACTTGATCTTTCGGAATAAGAGTCTCTAATCCTGTCTACAAGCAGTTGTCCCCTTTCTGCTGCGATTTTGGCACGGGGCCCTTTTCGGAGGGCTGAGCTAACGGTATTTCAGTGCATTCAACCCATGACAGGCCCATGCAAGTTGCCTGGGCCCTTGCATGCAGGTTTAGGGTTTAGGGTTTAGGGTTTAGGGTTTAGGGTTGAGGGTTGAGGGTTGAGGGTTGAGGGTTTAGGGTTTAGGGGTTTAGGGGTTTAGGGGTTTAGGGGTTTAGGGGTTTAGGGGTTTAGGGGTTTAGGGGTTAAGGGGTTTAGGGTTGAGTGTTTAGGGCTTAGGACCAGCATCACGCATGGGCAAAGCAGCGCTCAGCATCCCTTTTTCTCAGCAGGCTCACGCGGGGACCTCGGGCTTCGCCGGCGCGCGGGTCAGCTCGAGCTCGTGGGCGTAGACAATCGCAGGCCTCACACGAAAACAGAGCAGGAATCGAAGCCTAAAAGTGCCCCCTAAGCCCTGAGAGTCCCTCAACCCCCCAAAAGCCTGGGACCCTGAAACCCTAAGACCCTGAAACCAAAACCTAAAATCTTAAACCCTAAAGACCCGAAACCCTAAACCTAAACCCTAAACCCTACACCCTAAACCCTAAACCCTAAACCCTAAACCCTAAACCTCCTCTGAGCCTCTGGCTTATCGAACGTGTCGAAGTACAGCGGACTCAAAGGGTCCAAGTAGGAAGCCGTGAGAACGTTCAGGCGCAACTTGTCCGGACTCAATCCTTGCACGTGTTAGGGTTTAGGGTTTAGGGCTTAGGGTCTAGGGTTTAGGGTTTAGGGTTTAGGGTTTAGGGTTTAGGATTTAGGGTTTAGGGTTTAGGGTTTAGGGTTTAAGGTACAGAACTGGCGAAGCTACGATGCACCAGAGCCCACCCGCCAAAGAAACAAGTATTACAAACCTTGCCTGGTCCGCACCCTAAACCCTACGACCTAAACCCTAAACCCTGAACCCTAAACCCTAAACCCTAAACCCTAAACCCCAAGCCCTAAGCCCTAAACCCAACAGTACTAAATTAGGACCTGGCGTCGCTGGAAGGTCCTGAAGTGCTGGTAGTTGCCTGAGGCCAAGTCCGCTAGCTGAGCAGCTTCTGCCAGTAGCACCCTAAACCCTAAACCCTAAACCCTAAACTCTAAACCCTAAACCCTGAACCCCTAACCCCTAACCCCTAACCCCTAACCCCTAACCCCTAACCCCTAACCCCTAAACCCTAAACCCTAAACCCTAAACCCTAAACCCTAAACCCTAAACCCTAAACCTAAGCGCAGCGCTCCCTTCTTTCAGTGCAGCGCTGACGTACCGCTTTTCAAGGCAGGGCGCAGTTGTATCCTTGAGCCACTCGACTGGAGAAAGTGACCTGTCCTTAGAACCAGGGTTGCCAGGACTGAGCAGGATCGACTTCAACATGATTTAGGGTTTAGGGTTTAGGGTTTAGGGTTTAGGGTTTAGGGTTTAGGGTTTAGGGTTTAGGGTTTAGGGCTGCTGAACATGCTGCAAGTCATTCTAGAAACCCATGCCTCTGGGCTCAAGACCTTCTTCAAGCAACCCTAATACCCCCTAAACCCTGAACCCTAAACCCTAAACCCTAAACACTAAACCGTAAACCCTAAACCCTAAACCCTACACCGTAAAGATGAAGCAGAGGCTGCCGCTGCGGTATTCGCTGGACAGGAAGAGGTCCGGATCCTTCGGCGCACTCTTCCGCAGTCCGGTTTAGGGGTTTAGGGTTTAGGGTTCAGGGTTTAGGGTTTAGGGTTTAGGGTAAGTTGCAAGGGTGACTCGCCTCTCGTGGTAGCTGTGATCCTGGCCCTGAGAATGCAGTTGCATGCTGGTCCTCTGATGGCTGTTCAGAGTCGCGGGCATTGACGAAGAGCCTCTTCGCACAGGGTTTAGGGTTTAGGGTTTAGGGTTTAGGGTTTAGGGTTTAGGGTTTAGGGTTTAGGGTTTAGGGTTTAGGGTTTAGGGCAGTCACTACTCCACTTGGCTCATGTGCCCTGGAATCAGCTGAAGATGAAAAAGAAGCTGAGACATGTGAGGCAAGAAGAACCTCCACAGGTTGAACCTTGAAGCCCTCTTCCTACACCCTACACCCTGCACCCTAAACCCCAAATACAGTCCTATATCCAAAAGGGGAGGAATTATTCAAGGTCCCAGGGGCCCAGTCAGAAACGGAGTGACCGGTTTAGAGACAAGCGGGTAGGGTTTAGGGTTTAAGGTTTATGGTTTGGGGTTTCGGGTTTAGGATTTCAGGTTTCAGGTTTAGGGTTTAGGGTTCAGGGTTCAGGGTTTAGGGTTTAGGGGTTTAGGGTTTAGGGTTTAGGGTGAGCACTGCAACCCGGAGGCTCAACTCGCTCGGCGTTCTTCGTGGCGAGGAGCCTGAAATCTGAGTGTGCCAAAGCCCTTCCATTCTTGGTTTAGTTTAGGGTTTAGGGTTTAGGGTTTAGGGTTTAGGGTTTAGGGTTTAGGGTTTAGGGTTTAGGGTTTAGGGTTTAGGGTTTAGGGTTTAGGGTTCAGGGTTCAGGGTTCAGGGTTTAGGGTTGAGGGAGGCTTCTAGGTTTACAGGTCTGAAAGCATGTGCTCTTGTCCAAAAATAGGGGAACCCCCTATGACCCCGTGAAGTCTTGAAATCCTGATTATAAGGACCCCGGGGAACCCCCGCTGGTCCGAGCCTGATTGTGACGCGATTTGGATCGGTCTCTGGATTGTAGTCCACACCTCACAGGAAGAAACCCTAAACCCTAAAACCCTAAAACCCTCAAACACTAAACCCTAAACCCTAAACCCTTAACCCTAAACCCTTGGTCTGGCGAGCATCGGGTTCAACTTGCGGCCGAGGATCTGGTGACTCGGCCTTTTCCTGCGGGTGTCATAAGGCTTCTCTGGGGTGGGCTTGGGGGCCCTATAGAAACCCTAAACCCTAAACCCTAAACGACTATATTATATAGGGGGTTGAGGGCAGTAAGTATTCACAAACATGATGTTCAAACCTACCCTTGTTCTCGGCTCTTGCAGCTACAAGCCAGCTGTGTGCCGACCCCATGAGCGGTGGCACCCAAAGCCAGTCCAGCTTCTCACGATGAGGAGCCAAGCCGATTGCTAAAGCGTTTAAAATGAATCCGAAGTGGTAATATGGGGGGGGGTGCAACAATGATTAAAGAAGGGCTTTGGGGGCTATAATAATAATGTAGGGAGCATAAGGGACTACTACTAATTAGAACAGGGCTTTGGGGGGCTATCAGAGTATAAAGTAGGGACCACAAGGGAAGAGTATGATTGGAACAGGGTTCTGGTGGGCTATAATAAATTATAGACATATGGGGATCAGAAGGGATCGCTAGTAGCAATTTTCCATGATAGTAAGATAAAGGGACCAAAAACGACTTCTACCAGTAATTCTTCCGAGCCCCCTTAGAGTATAAACCCTAAACCCTAAACCCTAAACCCTAAACCCTCTCCCACCTCCCAAGTGCGCGGCCACGGTGGAGCCTAAGGTCACAAGTGCAAGGACTCGGGCGACATGGGGGGGCATGGTTTCAGCAAGGCGTGCCATGAAATGGCGGAGGCCGCCCTACATGTTCCCCGCGCCAGGGAAGCTTAGAGAAATGGATGCGCCCCTTGCCTTCCTCTAAGTGAGACGTGTTCTGAGACCGTTTCTAGCACGTTCTTGTGGGACTTCTGACTACAGAAACTATTAGCCCATAGCCGGAGCTGGTTCAGCGGAAGCCTGGAGAACAGGACAACGTGGCAAGGGCTGATCATGGTAGCAGAGAGCATTGTCAGGCAACGTTAGCCAGATGGGAGTTTCCGAAAATAGCCCTTTTGGCGTGTTTTTACTAAGGTATAAAGCCCTAAACCCTGAACCCTATACCCCTATTCTGGAACACCACCCAAATCAGCCAAAAGCGGCCAGCAAAGCTGCCGAGCTGCGCAGGTTGAAAGGCAAGTCTTCAACAACGACGCCTGCAAAGCGAGAGTCAAACGCCGACAGCTCCTTGCATTTCATTCCTAATTTTAACCCCCCCCACCCCCTCCCAGTATAGTTATAGAGTATATGGGAGGGTATTTAGCTGAACGTGGGTCTCAGCTCAGGAGTTCAACGCTTGACGAGAAACCGTCTTGCTTCTTGACGAAGCTCATGTTATACCTGAGACGAACTGGCACTTCCAGAAAAGACGATCAGGTGCTTGATGGCAAAAGCGGCAGCAGTGCAGTCGAAGGCGCTGATGTGAGCTGGTATCTTAGCATTGCCGACGGGATGCTCAAGCGGTGACTTGCCCACATCAGCGAAGTCAATTATAGAGCACTTCCTCAGCTACTAGGAATCATGACGCGGGCCCGTGGCTGGGCAATTTGCCCCTCCTCTCTTGTTGGGTTTAGGGTTGAGGGTTTAGGGTTTAGGTTTCTTGGGGCACTTAGGGTATCCAGGTTACTTGGGGGTGAGGGCCTGGGACGAAAGCTAGTTAAGGTACCCCCACGGAAGAGCTTCCGTCAACATGGCATCAACTACGCAGAAGGACAAGTACACGCAAAGGCAGCAGGTCGTGTCACCTTTTTTCTGGCGCAGGTGCCAATATTGACGTGGCATTCCTTGTGGCAATGTGTTGGTGTGTTGCTTTGCTCTGCGGTGTTTTAGCATCTTCCGGAGGGCTCTTTTTGAAACGCATGACGCCACAACAGATGTTGCACTTACCAGGGGAACCTGTCCAATCCAGCTCTGAGGGACGCCTGACTCAAGTCAACATCAAGGCTTCTGAGTCTTTTCTTAGGGGGCTTTTCTGTTAGCATCTTCCGGAGGGCTCTTTTTTGAAGCGCATGACACCACAACAGATGTTGCACTCGCCAGGCGAAGTCTGAAGTCTGTCCAATCCAGCTTTGAGGGACGCCAGACTCAAATCAACATCAAGGTTTCTGAGTCTTTTCTTGGGGGACTTGGGGGGCTTTTCTCGGGCCTGGGATCCACAGAAAACGGCGTTCATTTGCACTCAATATACGAAAGACATGAACGCCAGCCCGTTTCCCCAAAACCTGTGTTCGCCACCCGGAAACCGACCGGGTTTGCTGCGTTTCGTGGCGGAGCCTCCGGGGGCCCTGTATACCCTTCAGGTTGTAAGCTTCGCTTAGGTAAGATACTCCGCTAGCTCCTCAGGGGCTAGCTTTCGTGACTTAGCGGTCTCTGAGTGCCGCCAAGAAGTCTTGAAGCCCGGCACATCGTCCTGGCCATCTTGATAGGGGCATGCAAGGACATCTAAAGAGAGGACACACTCAGCCGATGTCACGTGCATCGAGAAGGCTTGCCGTAGGCTGTGCCCGCGCCTGTCTCATGACCTGCGCTCGTGGCAAAGTAGGGAACTCGAAGCCTGAAGCAACTGGGAGGCAGTACTCACGAAGGCCGCGCTGGGGCCTTTCTGAAACGGAGAGCTCCTCTTTGCAACCCAGGATACCCGCAAAGTTCGATGTCGCCTGCCAGTCGCCCGCCAGCCAGCCAGGATAAACCTGACAGATTCTATCAGATTCTTACTGATTCTTTGGCCCTTGCATTAAAGAATCCCCCTCAACAAGCTCGGCATTCCGCTCGGATGCGTGCTGCACAAGTCGTGTGTGGGGATGGTGGCGATCACGTCAGGGATCACCATACTAAGGAGCAGGATGTGTCGGGGAGAACACGCCGGGCAAGACCTAACAAACCCACAAAAACGGCGCGAAGTGCAGAGTGAGGAGAAGACACTCATGTGCATGTGACTACTGCTTTTCAAGGGCTTCACACTCGCACAGATAAGGTTTAAGGTTTGTCGTAACATATTCTGAATATGGCCCTTAGATACCTTGGAGAATCTTTAAAACGGGTCCAAGGGGGTCCAAGGTAGAGTATAAGGTTCTTAAGGTTAGGGAGCCTTAGGGAGGATTTAGGGAGTATTAGGGAACCTTGGGTTACCTACCCCCCTTGAACCCCCCCTCCCTTGAGAGCTCTGTAGGTAGAGTCCCATGAGCTTTTGGTGGCCGTGTGCCTAAACCCTAAACCCTAAACCCTAAACTCTAAACCCTAAACCCTAAACCCTAAACCCTAAACCCTAAACCCTAAACCCTAAACCCTAAACCCCAACTCAGTCGTGCCTGCTGCTTCGGGGGAATGTTGAAGATCGGCGAGGTCAAGTCGCGGGCGCTCCTGGCCAAGCACGCAGCCAGAAGCCTAAACCCCCTAAACCCCAGACCCTAAACATCCCTAAACCCTAAACCCTAAACCCTAAACCCTAAACATCCCTAAACCCTAAACCCTAAACATCCCTAAACCCTAAACCCTAAACCCCTAAACCCTAAACCCTAAACCCCTAAACCCTAAACATCCCTGAGACCCTAAACCCTAAACCCTAAACATCCCTAAACCCTAAACAACCAAACAACCCCAAACCCTAAACCTTAAACATCCTAAAACATCCCTACCACCCGAAACCCTACAAACCCTAACGGCGACCTCTTCTGCAAAAGGGCTCGCAGTGCAGCTTCGGCAGGTAGCGGCGCGGCAAGGCTGATTGCAGGGGCCATGCCTTGAAGTTTAGGGTTTAGGGTTTGGGGTTTAGGGTTTAGGGTTTTGGGTTTAGGGTTTAGGGTTCCAAAACCTACCTTTTGTAGGTTCTATGGTACGGATTCTTCGGAAACCTGCACAAAAAGGAGGGTTTTGGGGTTCTTGGTTGAGGTGCTCCAAAGGACAGCCGGAGCTTCAGAGTTTTGGGGGTTCGTTAGGGTTCCTGGGGGTTCTTAGTTACTTCGGGTTCCTCAGAATTTCTAGGGTTTCTTAGGGTTTCTTCGGGTTTTCCGGGATTTAGGGTCTTAGGGTTTAGGGCAAAACCTGCGTGGTGCTTCCACCTCGTCTCATTGCGTCACTTGCGGCCAGCTCACGGAGCACGCGCGACCTCCCGAAGCATGAAGTCGTAGAACGGGGTTTCGGGTTTAGGGTTTAGGGTTTAGGGGTTTAGGGGTTTAGGGGTTTAGGGGTTAAGGGGTTTAGGGTTTAGGGTTTAGGGTTTAGGGTTTAGGGATCGTGCATGGTGTGGCCTGTGCGTGTGCCAGGACCCTAGGGATTTAAACAGCAGCCTCTGGATGGCGCTGGGGGGAAGGGGTGGGAGGGGATTCTCAGTCTTAGCTTCAATACTAAGACCCCCCCCCCATCATCCCCCATTAAACAGAGCCTCTTGAAAACAAACCTATAAAACACCCTACAAACGCATATCAGAATCCTATCAAAAGCCTACAAAAACCCCAGAAACTCACACGGCAGCTGGGGAGGGCTGGGGTCAGCTTCGGCGGCGAAAACCGGACTTGTAAGATACCTACAGAAGATGACACTGTATATTGATATGTATGCCACATTGAATACTGCGTTATATGTGTATATATATATATATGTGATGGTGGTGATGATTGGTGTATCTGACGTAGTGCAACAAAATTTTCACATGCACATACTATGCGCATCTAAACTTATCGCCATACACTACGGAGCAAAGAGTAGCGATCCCAAGAGCCCACCGAGGCCAAGGCAATGCCGCAAGCGAAGACGACATGATCCATAATATGCACTCAATATATATATATATATACATATACATATTCATATATACACATATATACACATATACATATACATAGACATAGACCTAGACCTAGACCTAGACATATAGATTAGAGTCATATCAGTAGTCATCTAACAGCATGAAGTGTAACGAATATAACAGACTGAAATAGTATGACGGCGCAAGCCTAGGGCCTCGGGGCGACTCGGTCAACCCTATCTGACCAGACGCACCTGAACATGTTCAACTCCAGACGAAAACCAACCAGGAACCCCAGGCATTCGAGCGCCGAAATCCGACGAAGCCGGGCCTCGGGAGGATCAGCGCGAGCGCCCCTGGGCGCGCGTGGCAGTGCAGGTCTCGGGCGATCCTTTGCTGCTCTTTGACTGGGGAGGGGAGGTGGGGGGGGGGGGGTACCTCATTCGAGGAGGGGGGGGGGGGGGTTCCGTGTTACGGGAATTCTACTGTTGAGGTACCCCTATGTTGGTAGTGCCCCAAGAATGTTACGGTGGCTTTCAGTAGTTAGTTTGATTAGGATTCAATTCCCCATCTTTGGCAGCTTCGCTTGTACGCATGTGTACTGATCGTGTGCACTAGATGGGCTGGCTAAGAAAGCTGGCGTCGCACGTGAAGACATGTGAGAGGACGTAGTTTAAACGTGTACGACAATGCGACGAAGGTCCAAGCAATCACCACCGCTGCCAGCAGCTGCGACCGTCTCAAGATTTGGCGAGCCATGCGGCGCCCACAATACGCCACAGGCAGATGTGGCGGCAGTTTCTGTGATGTTGTGGCACCTCTGGGAGGCCTGTTTTCGAAAGCGTTTGATGTTCAGCTTAGGGAAATTTGGGGTAAGGCTGGATTCTAACCGTAAACCCTAAACCCTTAACCCTAAACCCCTAAACCCTAAAGCCTCATAAATTCGAATGGCGTATGTCTGCACTGCTAACTCAAACTCTAAACTCTCACAGCCAATCGGCTCGTGAGGGAAGTTGGCACCTTCTTCTTTGTGTAGGTTGTGAACGGTTGTGACATCCCTTTATAGGGTTCTTAGGTCACCTGCAAACCAACGCAGGGCTTAGGGAGGACGACAGCAAACTTGTACAGAGCTTTCTCGCACCAGCTTCTCTTCAGCTACCATCTGCTCTCTTTGAAGGTGTGCGAAAAGCCTAAACCCTAAACCCTGAACCGCTAAATTCCTAAACCCCTAAGAAGCGGCCTAGAAGACTTCATCTCCCTCCCTAAGAAACCTGAGTAAAGACCTCCTCCTTCCGTTTCCCCCCAATTTGAGGATCCATGTGTCTGTATATTCTTGAAGACCTAACCGCAGCCGCTGCAGATCCACGAACCCTGCAAAACAGCTCCTCCCTCACACAGCGAGTGAACCCCAGAATTGGGATCCTATACGCTATCCTACGATCGCCTGTCCCAATTAAGGTATAAGCCTACCCCTCACCCCAAAATTAGATCCTATACCCTATACTACGATCGCCTGTCCCAATTAAGGTATCTGGACCATAAGCCCACCATGCTTTACTCAATCGAGTCCATTGCACTACGCACCAGCAGCCCTTTCATCCTTTGGGCGTTGATCGATGTTCTGGGCCCTTTGTGGGGATATCTGATGCAGTGTTTGCTTTTACTGTTAAAGGTAGCGGTACCAAAATGCACCCACAGTTTCGATCAATCTCCACCTGTACAACATGGCCCACCCTAAACCCTAACCCCTAGACTCCCTAAACCCTAAACCCTAAACCCTAAACCCTAAACCCTAAACCCTAAACCCTAAACCCATCTCTCGGACTTTTCCCTTCTTGGTTCTCTGGACGCTGAGCTCAGCTGAGCCCATGTCAGGCGACCAAAGCATTGCGGGATGTTTTCTGCCGTGACTTGCATTGAAGGCTTAGAGGGTTTAGGGTTTAGGGTTTACGGTTTAGGGTTTAGGGTTTAGGGTTTAGGGTGCTACTCCATCCAGCTGGAGAGTGCGGGGGTCGTTGTGATGCTTCGACATGCTTCGACGATTCGAGCATCGCTTCTCACATTGGAAGACTGAGAAGCGAACAGTCTACGTATGGGCCAGAGCTGCCTTTTCGGAGCCGGCTACGTATAGAGCCCCAACTTCTTTGTGGGTTTACCTATATGAATCCTACACAAGGCTTTACGATGAGCCTTCAGAACCTAGAAAAAATGCAGGTTTGCAGGATTCTTAAGGTAGGGCCCAGAGTCTGGCTACTCTGCCAAGCAGGATGTGCAAGGGAACTCTGGCCATGACCCTTGGCCTGTCAGTCCATGTCAGTTCACGCAGCTTTGGCGAACGCCTTACCAGGCTCCAGGCCGGAAAAGCTAAAGCCATGATTATGTGCCGGGATGCCTGAGAAAGGAGGTTGCCTGCTCAAGTGTCTGTCGTTTGTCTTGTTACTGTTGTCTTGTTGTTCTTCGTCGTTCTTCTTCATCTTCTTCTACCATTTCGATAAAGTGTTTCGCGTTCTCCTCCTCTGCTGCTGCTGCTGCTGCTGCTGCTGCTGCTGCTGCTGCTGCTGCTGCTGCTGCTGCTGCTGCTGCTGCTGCTGCTGCTGCTGCTGGATGCCTCTATAGTTTTACCGTAAAACCCCCTAAGCCCTAAGCCCTAAGCCCTAAACCCTAAACCCTAACCCCCAACCTCTAAACCCTAAACCCTAAACCCTAAACCCTGTTCTAATCATTCAGGCCCCTATATTCATCAGCAGCCGTGCATTGGACTCAGCGTTGGCAACCCGAGGCCAGCTGAGACCACCGCGTTGTAGGCCTCCTGCATCCGCTTCTTCCTTTCAGAGAGGTGTCGGAGTTGATAGGGTTTAGGGTTTAGGGTTTAGGGTTTAGGGTTTAGGGTTTAGGGTTTAGGGTTTAGGGTTTAGGGTTTAGGGCCTTTAGGGTTTAGGGTTTAGGGTTTAGGGCCTTTAGGGTTTAGGGTTTAGGGTTTAATTAGCGCCTTTAGGGTTTAGGGTTTAGGGCCTTTAGGGTTTAGGGTTTAGAGTTTAGGGTTTAGGGTTTAGGGTTAGGGTTTAGGCCATTTACACACTCCATCGCCGCCTAGTTCTCTCATTCAGAAACTCTTGGATTCAGAGGCTGAGCCTCAGCTTTTTCGTCTCCGAACCTCAAACCCTAAGCCCTAAACCCTAAACTCTATACCCTAAACCCTAAACCCTAAACCCTAAACCCCAAACCCTAAACCCTAAACCCTAAACCTTACCAGTAAGACATGTGTGGAGAGGCCTGCCCGGGTCGATCATCAAAGGCTGCGGTATGTGGAGGAAGTCCTGGAGGCCATTTAGGGTTTAGGGTTTAGGGTTTAGGGTGTAGGGCTTTAGGGTTTTAGGGTTTAGGGTCTAGGGTTTTGGGGTTTTTAGGGTTTAGGGTTTAGGGTCTGTCATTTTCAGGCAGCTTGAGCCATGGCTGGTAGGGCACTCTCCGGTTTTCGCTCAAAGCTGGTTTGCGGACATGTTTGGGGTTTCCCTAAACCCTAAACCCTAAACCCTGAACCCTAAACCCTAAACCCTAAAGGCCCTAAACCTTAAACCCTCTGGAGAGTTGGCTCCTGCTTCTGCGCCAGGGCGGCCTCCAATCGGCCCGCTTGGCCCTGATGTTGGGCGATGTCCTCTTGTGGCTCAGATTACAAAACCCCTTAATTCAGGAATAGCCCTTAAACTTTTAATCGGAACCCGAATAGAATGTACGGAAGATTCCCTAATTGAGGGCTTTTGGAGTCTCTGGGACTTGGCACAAAGTTGGGGGGCGCTTCCCCGCGATTTTCCACATGGGTGTTTCCGAAATTCGCGGGTACCTTATTGGGGTCCTGATTATGTTCATTATAATGCGGGGATCTATACCCTAAACCCTAAGCCCTAAACCCCAAGTCCCCTATTTTCCTAAACCCCTGCATAAACGCCCCTACAAGCCCCAAAATCCTAAACAGACTGAACGACCTTGGGGACGAAATGAACCCTAAAAGGGTTTATGGTTCATATACCTTAATGGGAATTATAGTAGTCAGGGTATATGACCCCCAATTTTAGGGCTCATTTCGTCCCCAAGGTTGTGTGTGCGTGTGTGCGCGCAAGTCGCGGTGCTGCTCTTCGCCTGGGCGACTGCCAGGCTGCCTTTAGGGTCTTGGGTTTAGGGTTTAGGGTTTAGGGTTTAGGGTTGGGGGTTTGGGGTTTAGGGTTTGGGGCTTGGGGTTTAGGGTTTAGGGTTTGGGGTTTAGGGTTCGGGGTTTAGGGCTTTCTGACTGATGAAAGCCCTAGAAAACTCTCAATAACCCCCCAATAAACCCTAAAACGCAAGCAGTGATCCGGGCGTCCTTCATCCTCTGGGTCACCTCAATGCCCTCCTGCGGAGAACCCCAAACCCTGAGCCCTAAACCCTGAACCCTGAACCCTGAACCCTAAACCCTAAACCCTAAACCCGAAACCCTAAACCCTAAACCCTAACCCTAAACCCTAAACCCTAAACCCGAAGCCCCTAACCCTGGGCTCCATTCTACCTACGATGTTGTACTTTTTTGGGGGTTCTGCCCTACCTGTAGCCCAGACAACCTACCCCTTGTTTCGGGATTCCTTAATATTAATATTCTGAATTCCTTATATATCCCCTTTATCTTTTTTTGGGCTACAGGTATACTTAGGGGGTTATACCCGCCTAGTTTGTAGGGTTTGGGCGTCAAGACCATCGAAGCATCTACTGCGGACCCCGCGAGCACCTGCTGTTTAGGGCTTAGGATTTAGGGTTCCCTGGGCTTAGGGTATCTAGGGTTTAGGGTTTAGGGAAGATTTTGTGGTTCGACCTCATAGCCCAAAGACCCAAAACCCCCAAAAGACCCTAAAATCCCTCCCCCCAAACAACCGCAGACCCTAAGGCAAGGCGGCAGGATCACCACCTTGAGGGGTCTAGGGTTCAGGGGCTCTTTGGCTGCGCTAAACCCTAAACCCTAAACCCTGAACCCAAAACCCTAAACCCTAAACCCAAAACCCCACACCCCACACCCTACACCCTAAACCCTAAACCCTAAACCCTGCCTTGTCCCGAAGGCTTTTGAAAAGCAAGTTCGCCACGGAGGCAACCTTCTCTGCATTTACCCAGTCCTTGGCAGGACGAGTGCAGATCTGGAGTCCACACAGCTGTCGCCACAAACAGTTATCTACTATTTGCTTAAGAACCCCAAAAGACTAAAAACAATAATCATCATCCCTATACTACCCTTACACGGAGGATCATTTTATATTTTTGGCGGCTTCTTAAGCAATTAATTGCGAGCTATGAAATACAGCAGAGGAGCATAGTTTCCTTGGCTGGAAGATGCAAAGTCAAAGGGACAAGCACGACGCACCGACACTCTGAGCATCAAGGAACTCCAGTAAGCATTGACAGCTGCCACGTCACGGAGCAGGTGCTCTGCCAGCTTGGTGAGGCTGCGCGCCTCTCCATCCTCGGGGTTTAGGGTTTAGGGTTTAGGGTTCAGGGTTTAGGGTTTAGGGTTTAGGGTTTAGGGCTTAGGGTTTAGCATCATTTGCAGCGCTGTGCATTTGCAAAGAGGGCGTCCTTGTCACCTGCTGCATGGTTCACCGTCACGATGTCCTCTTGAACAAGTACGTGTCACTACAAGATTGAGTGGAGACTATCAGAATATTTTTTTCTTTTCTACTGGCACTATTCTTACTACTATTCTTCTTAGGCGTGGAAGCGGCTTGCTGCTGAAATGCCTT